CGTTGTTCAACCGCCCCGGCAGCGGGGCCGAGCGGGCGGGGGGGCTTCCCCGCCGGCTGCGCTGCCGCTCCTCTCCCGGTCCTTAAGTTTAGTCAGCGAACCGGCCCGTCAGTGGAATGAAGCCCCTCAGCGTGACTGGTTGTTGTGCCCGCTTTCCACACGAGCCGGTTCAGGAGGGGAAGGGGGGGCAGTGAAGGCCCTGTGCCCTGGCATGCAGCATGTTAATTGGTAGTCGTCAGGAGGTTATTAAACAACAAGGGCATCATCCATCGAAGCGTTATACACTGAAGTTGAAACTCAGGTTGTTAGGCTTGGTAACTGCCAGGGCGGACTGCAGCGAGCGCGTCGCACGGCGGTTTCTGACAGGAGCAGGGCGGCTCAGAGCCGGGTCCTGCGTTTCCTGAGCCCCACGGGCCGGGGGGGCTGCGGCTCCCTTAATTTTCTTGCTGAAGTACGAGAAATGCTTCATCGTCTTAACGTTTCTTGTTACGTACACATAGCTATGAGTCCAATAGTCTTTGCCTTTACTACTAAAAGTAACGGTGCTGTTAGAGCTTTGAAGTTGTATGCTGATCGTTAGAAGTCTTTTAAACTAAGCGTAGTTACTGAGGATTTTTTTTGGAAAAATAAGGGAAAATGTCATGGCCTTTGCTATCAATCTGTAGATGTATTTGCATTTACACTTGAACTGGTTATTGCAGGTATCTACAGAGTAGCTTTTGAAAACAGCCCTGCCTTTTTTGTAAAAATTGTCACTCAGGGTGGCAGGGTTGATTTGGTGTTGGTAAGGTTATAAATAAATTTATTAGCACCATATTCTTAATTGAGTGGCTTGCTGAAAATCTAGAAAGTGCTCAAAGTGGTCTTCAAATTTCCAGGCTTTCTGCCTCAGTGTTAGCTTGAATGTGATACTGCAGTCTTACCAAATACAAAAAAGAAAAACTAGGAATTAGGATTTAATTTAAATAATCTGCCAACAATTCAGTGCTTTCCTTCTAAGCTTGACAGGTGCTATGTCCAGTTCTGACATGTGTTATGTCATAGGACATGCAGCATCATTGACTGCAGTATTGATGAAACTGATGTAATTTCCATAGTTGTAAGGAAATGGCTTGATTATAGTTTTATGAATTGCTTTGTGGAGAAAAAAAGAATGGTCAAGATACATACTGATGTGCCTGAAAGAGAGCTGAACAAATAGCTTTATGGAAAAGTAAGAAAATTGTTAATTGGGGGGGGGGGATTTCTTAACTGTCTTCCAGCAATGGATTTTAAATTAAAAAATAGTTAAAAACCATTGGCACTGTCTGACTCTTCAGGACAAGAAAACATTAGAAGAACAGACTTCTTGATAGAGCAACTGAAAATTCTAACTCATGGTAGCAATACGTTAAACAGTAGATAGAAGTAGTGTTTTTTCAAGATGGAAAGGGAGGACCAGTACTGTACAGAGAAGTTGTTTAGAGGAGAAGGAAATACTTGTTTTTTTAAAAAAAATATTGTGCTGTTTTAGTCTTGGTTGATTTATTTGAGTGTTTATGGAAGAAGTGTGTATTTAGGATTGAGGGAAGTGAAGTGAGTGTGTGGAATTGTTGCATTTAGGATTAAAAGTTATGATTATATAACAATAGAAAATTATTGAGGCACAGTGCATTTCTCATTTGCACAAATTTTCCTCTCCATTTCTGGTTAATGGTTATCCTTTGTGTAGCTATGCATTGAAGTATAATTTAGGTAAATCATTATCTGTTTACCTTGAAGGAATTAGTGGTCTTCTATGTTTTGAAGGTGCTTGTGCTTTTGTCCTGAGGTGGGGAGATAAAGAAGAATACTTTAAGCATTAAGAATACGCTATGTGAACAGTTTAAACTTAGGCCACAGTCTGCAACTTTCTGACTGCAAAGGAGGGAAAGGAGAAGGAATTTGAAGTAAGAATTAGAGTGTTTGCTTCTTTTAAAAAGAAAATGATGCTTTGATAGCAGAATTAAGCTGTTTTTCAGATGCTGTATTACTCTGTCCTGCCTTGGTGTCTCATCCTGTTCTTTTGCTTACTGTGTTTTTCCTGCAGGGTCAGCCACTGATCTGTTTCACAGCTGGCACAGAACTAGAGCTGATGCTGGGTGGCAGTAAGTGCTCAGAAAGGAGCTGGCTGAGCGACTGTGTGCTTCAGTGTATCTCCTGTCACTGGAGAGATTGTTTTGCAGTCACAGTCTGGAGCTTGTGTATTGATCAACCTCAGTCATGAGCAGTGATTATCTCTTAATATCTAGGGCATGAAAGTCTAGCCAGGTGGAGGAAACTTAAAATCATTTGTTTTTCAACAATAGGCTCATGAACCAGTTTGTGTGAGGTAAGGAGGAGTGGCTCATTAGTTAGAATCACAAGCTGGAGGGGACCCATAAGTCACTCCATGATGGTTGCCCATATGAATATATTTACTTTGCAGGAAACTTCGGTTGTTTGAGATGCATTTTCTTTAAGTTAGAGAAGGTTGGTTTTCTAAGGTGGAAGAAAATACACCTGGGCAGTTAATGGAGTACTTAATTTGTGTGTTTATACCTAAGGTTATCTCTTTACTTTTAACTTTTTAAACAAGAAAGAATTGGAAAAAACAAAAAAGTTACAAGTGATAGTGTTACAAAGGAAGACTCCAGAAAACAAGTTTGCAAGAGATCTGAAGAATGATTTAGTGGTATGAACTTCTACCTTATTTCACTGGAATGAACTTTGATTGAAACTTTACATGTCAATATTAGTTTTTTACTACTCATTAAACTACATGCTGTTTTTGTTTGTTTAAAAAAAAATACCTTTAAGGCTTACAGTAGCTTTGGCCTACTTACTAGAAGTGGAGCTGTGATATATAAATCATCAAAATCACTATCCAAACAAGCTCATACAGGGAAAAACTGTTCAGTTCACATAGTTTAAAGCAAATAATGATTTAAATGATTTATTAACAATACATAATTAACTAGCAGTCAGTGAATTACATAGCTGTGATCAGTATCAGCAACATGATAAATCACAATTCTAGACGTACACAGAATGTTAGTACACCACCGCAAACTTCAAAATGCCTGTTTGTAATCCCCACAAGTTCTAATCACACTCAATACACGTGCCCCCCACCCAAGGCACTGTAGGTTATAAGCACACTCTGCCTCTTCTTTTATACTTCTGTTTGAGCTGATTCCTTCTTTGCTTTAAAACTTTGTAATTTTCTGGCTAGTCTTTCAGCTAATGGTCATTGTCATCTTCAGTGTGATGAATATTGAGAAGCCACTATCTCAGACAGTTCTGAGTGAACTCTTCACACGTAGCATCTATACTTGCATTCCTCTCTTAACAGCTGTTATCCATGCTGTTTTGCTAAGGGTCTATTATGCAGCCTCTTCTTCTCCCCAAAGAAGTGGAGCATTGCCCTGCCCACCCTCCCTGGCCAGTAGTCACTAAGACTTTGGCTAAAATCTGAATTTACTGTTTCTGAGCATGTTCTTGTGTCATGATAAATGCAGTGTAGCTTTTCACCTATCTGTCTAGATAAGTGATTTCCATCTTTTGGATATTGTGTGAACACTGGAGAGTTTCTGTTTTTAAATTGTAGTATTCTGTCACTTCTGAAGTGTTACCAGGAGGTAGTAATGTCAGACCTTGTCAGTGAGTGCCAAAGCTTAAGCTCAACCTCCTTGTGCTGATAGCCTGAATTTTCATAATTGTAATTTCATATTTTATTTCCTTTTGCAAGACTAGTCTGCACAAAGTCTTTTTTTAGAAGCCATATGAGTTGACTAAACATAGGTCAGTCAGCCTTCGGCTTATTTACCTGCAGCTGTTAAAATGCAGAAGACCTGTACGTGCTTGATGGCATTTCGGTCTTGAAAGACTTTGGTCTAATCATCAAATGATCAGCATGCTTGTACAGTTTGTGCACTGAATCACTTAAGATCATGTATCCGTGAACGTTTTGATCTTACAGAAAGTTATTCTTTAAAATAAAGAACAAGTTGCTAGTGTTGCTGAGAGGAAAAAATAGCTTTTAAAAAGTCTAAAATAGAGCTTAGTAAATTTAGGAGGACTGTCAGGATGTTAAGGATTAGATCCACTCAGCATATTGCATTCGGTGTAGCTGCTTTGAGTAGTGTTTTGGAGAAGTGGGATGTCTGATGAAAATGATTGGCTGGGAAAAGTAGCTTGTTTTGTTTGTTGGGAGGCAACAGGGGAATGGGAGAGCGTAGGACTTGCTTCTCATATAGCTCCTTCCACGCCAAGTTATTTGACATTCTGGCTACTATCAGCAGAAACCTTCTGGGTTAGGTGTGATGTAAATGAAGCATGTAGCAAGTAACAAAAGCATAGTAGTCTTCTCACTCTTTGGAGGTCATGCCTGAAGTGTCTTCTGCTTGTGTGTGTTCCTGAATGTAGATCTTTCATTGCTGAGGTTCATCAGTGCTGAGCTAACAAGAGGTTACTTCCTTGAACACAATGAAGCAAAATACACAGAGCGGAGAGAGAGAGTATACACATGCATGCGGATACCAAAAGAACTGGAAAAGGTGAAGTATTCTTTAAGATTTGTTTTAATTTAGAGATGAAATCTGTTGCATTAAATTATTTAAAGAAATATTTATTTTTCAAACACTTTTGCTACTAAAAAAGATTTAAAGATCTATAATGATTAATTTTCACTGCTGGTAACTTGAACATTTGTGTTTCGGGGTTTTTTGCCTATGTTTGCTTGTTGCTGCTGGCAACTCATGGCCGCTTGTTGATGTTATTAGCAGAAATGGACATGACTAACTTTCAAGTCCAGATGATGACAAATTAATTCAAACATAAAGATGTCACTGATCCTTAAAGGAATAGTTAAGCAAAAGAAAACTTTCTGCTGCAAAATGTAATTTTACATTTAAAAAAAAAATTGTTTTAAAGATCTTTCCAGTCTAAAATGTTTTGAGGGTGGGAAGATTTCAGTCCTTTAAAAATACGGTGATGGATGAGTTTCTGTCTAAAGTTTTGGACTTAATTTTCATAGCCTTCTATTTTGCTTCTTGCCACTGTTTACTGCATCTTCCCTCTCTATCCCAGTGCTATGGCCCTTCCTGAGGCATTCCTTCCACCTCGTTTATGTCAGCTTAGATGTAATTCTGGCCCTGCAGTGAGCCAATTCCAGTGCTGTAATGTTTATTCTGGCTTAACCATTTTGAAACCCTGTAGGAGAGTGTGTCAGATATGGGAGGCCGCCGGAATATGCTCGAGGATGAGGATTAAGGCAACATTGGTCATAAGGTTTGGCTAGGCTGCAGTGTAACAGTAACATTAAAAGTAATATTGCTAAAATTCTCAAAACCTATAGGGATGAAGTTACACAGCAGGGCTAAATCAATTTAACTCTAACTTATGTTGAAGGAAGTCTTGTTTCACTGTTCCTCCCACTTCAGTCTCCTGCCTTATGCATGCTGCCTGTTTTGCATGAGCTGTGGTGCTTGTTGGACCGTTCTCAGAGTTAAATCAGCTCATAATTCAGCAGTGAATGCTTCACTTTTCTTGCTCTTTTTGTTCTTTGCTAGGATAGTGAGCTGAATTGCTCAGCCAATATTTTTGAGAATCCAGAACCTACACAAGGGCGGAAGGGGAGCTGTATAGCTTGCAGTAGGGGCAGAAAGATGAAAAAGCAGTGGAGGAGGGAGGGAGAGTAGGATACCCTTTGTCAGCAGCACTCAGGTTCCCGCTTCAGTATCATTAAATTCATCCTCGGACCATGATGAGACCTGGTTTTACAAAACTAAACTCCCAGTCAGTTACTGCAGAAAATCACAGTATGGATGAGATTGGGATGGACCTCTGGAGATTATGTAGTCCAAGCCTTTGCTTAAAGCTGTGTCACGTACAACAGGTTGCTCAGGACCAGATCAGTTGGGCTTTGAACATCTCCAGGGATGGTGTCTTCACATCTTCACTGTTTACCCATTCCAGTTTACGGTAGAATATTCCAATTATGGTAAAGTCTCAGTTGAACAATATAGCAGTTCTACATCATCTCCATTGTAATTATGTAGACTATTAAGTGCCGTCTCCAAGCCACGGAAATTATTCTGAAGGATCATCACCATAGATTCCCAATAAAACTTTCAGTATGTAAGAACTAGTGAAGGCCAAGAGTCTTTTATAAATAAGGTTGATGCTGTAAGTGGTGAAATTGATGGGTTTTGCATGGTAATTCAAACTTCAGTCTGTACTTTGAATATGAAAGAATACAAAACTGAGTATAAGCAGATAGATTTAAAAAGTGATGATTATCTTTTTACAGAGAGGTTATGAAATAAATTTGTTACTTCTTTGCATGGGCTTAGTCTACTGTACATACTAGCTATATCAAATTGAATCATACTTGTTGAAAAAATTGAAAAAGTATGATGATGAGCACCTAGAAAGCAAACTAGTGTTCAGATCATCACCTGTTGCAGGAATCACTTGCCTGTGATTCAAAACTCTGCTTAATTGAAATAAAGCATGTGAGACAGTAGGAAAGGAAGAGAAGAATTTTCTTAATGGCTTGTATTGTTTACTACTTAAGAGTATAATTACAGACTAGGAATGAAAATCATAATCGGGTAGAGTGAGAATAAACTGGAATAAATTTATCAAAGCCTAATCTCAGGAGTTATTCTTTAACATGCACTTATTACATGTACATAATTTTAGAGTGGGGTGTGATGTTAAAAGGGTAGTATTTTTTTTTGTTGTTCTGTTGTTCTGAATACTCCTTTTTTATTTAGGGAAGGTAGATAATTTGTAATATAAATGTTACTTCCACTCAAGCGTTTTGTGCAGTTTCAGTAGAAGCTCTTCATTGTAATAGATTATTTATACTAAATGAAAAGGTGGTCTCTATTCCTGCGGTTTTAAGGGAACACTTTTAAATTGATCTCAAAATTAAACTTTGCGCTCTTTTGCTAAAATATAGTTACAATGATGGAAAAGCTCTGTAAGCATTTCTGTTAGCTCCTCAGTATCTGGAATGTAGCAGCAAAAACAAGGTTTACAAAAATGAGTGGAAGGTTCAGTGCTGATTATATTTCAATGGATGCATGTAAGTGTGCAAGTGCAATGTTGTAAAAAATTAAGAAAATGAGGACATTAAACAATAATTGCAAATATTAACACGAGCTTATAGAATGGGAAAAACCGTGATTACACTTGGGCAGAGAAAAAGTCTGTCTGAATAAAAAAGAAGATGCAGAATTGTTTTCTAGATTGTAAAGATGCCCTCAAAGAATACAGGGGCAAAATGACAGGCTGTCTTTCTATTTTGCTTGGGTTAAGGAGTTTTTTTTAAAAAAAAAAAAAAAAAAAAAAGAAAGAAAAGAAAAAAAAAGGGGAAGATGCATGTTCAGCTCCAGTCATCCTCAGTGCTTGGATATTCAGCACCTGGTTTAAAAGTTAGCAAAGAAATAGGTAAAATTTCTTTATATGCAATGCATGAATTTGTCCATTATTTGTAACCATGGCTCCTGAGAATTTTGAATGATAACACTCTGCTGAAATTTTAGAAAATGGTACTGGAGGTGAATGAGTGAATATCAGGGAGGAGACCTTGATGTCGTGATGGTACAGACTGCAGAATTGGTAGAAATAGTGTTATAAGGGAAAGCAACAGCTCAGAGATGATAGCAGTGCTCTTATGCCTGAGTCAGTCATCTTATATGGCTTGCAGATAGATGTATTGGAATATACTCTGCGGGATTGCTTTCAAAGTTACAAGGATGCGTGAGGGGTAAGAGTGAGAGAAAGGTAGGTATCAGTGACATTAGCTCATTGGACATTGAGCTGGCTGTTGTGCAAGCTGACGAGGTGTTTTGAAAGGCAGATTGTGGGAGATAGAAGTAATTTACTTGTGCTTTGGTTTACTTCCACCCCCCCCCCCAAACCAGTGTCTTCCTTTCCCATCAGCAATACATACAACTTTCACATGTAAATGCATATCTGTTATGGATATCTAGGCCTGCTTAGATGTTGTTAGTCTTAATTGTGCAGCCAGTTAAGCTTGCCTTTTTACGTGATTTTCCTTGCAGGAAAAAACACTAGTTCTGGTCTGACAGAGGCATAAAAGCGTATGCCTAGAGTCCCATTCAGGTAAATCTTAGATATATATTGAAAGAGCAGATAAAGAAGGAATGTCGTGTGGGAAGAGTCTGGTATATGAGAGTTTTCTAATTGCAGAGTTTAGGTCTAGTTTAATTATCATAGAGTTGCTTGGCTTGTGGCTATAATTAAATGGCTTTAACTGTTTTATGTGAATTAAGGATAAAGCATTTAAACCAAGGGCAACTGGAAGTTTACCTTTTCATATTTTATATTTGTCTTTGCATGAAAAAGGTGAATATTCTCTGAAGGAGAGCTATCACAGCTGTAATTAGCTGTGCAATAGAAAACTAACAAGGTAAAAAAAATTTTTTTTGGGGAAAAAAAAAGGATGTAGGCAGAAAATGGGTGTGCACATGAACACACAGCTCTACATTTTTTTCCTAAGGTTAAAAACATTAACTTTTGTAACCTTAGAGGAAAGTCACCATTGGAAAATGAGCTACAGTTATATCCAAGTGCAGTTCATCTATTCAATAAAGACTGAGTTCGGTGAGCCATGGAAGTCTGCAAAAGCCTTGCTGCTTGGACCTTGTGGAGCAGAATTTTTGCTGAATAGTCTTCCAAGTGCATAGCATGTTATTTTTCTTACAGTTCAGCTGATTGAACAAGTGAGAGTATTGTGCTTATTTGGTTAATTAGTCTTATGTAAATGTGTTTTTCATAAAATAATATAATTCTTTATAAACTTTTTGTAACTCTCTATAAACTACTAACATACTTCTGTTTTATTTTTGTAATTTAGTTGATGTTTTTTGGAATCTTTTTGTGCCTGGATGCTTTTCTGTATGTATTCACCCTGCTTCCTTTGAGAGTTTTTCTGGCAATGTTCCGGTTCATCACTTTGCCTTGCTATGGCTTACGGTAAGTTGATTCAAGAAAAAGGTGTTGATACTCTTAAATAATGTTTCTGTGTTTATGCGTGTGCTTAATTTTATGGCCTTTCAGTGCCATTTGAACTACTAATGACTTCTTCCACTGTAAAATAGACGTTTTGGTCTAAACTAGTCAAGGCAAAGGTGTGTGTGGGACCTTTAAGCTTTGCCACCAGTCACTAACTGTCGTCGTTGTTTCCTTCAGAGACAACAGTTTGATAACAGCACCACTTAGGCATATTCAGGTTAGTAAAGGACAGAGATGTAACCTTACCCTGTAGTTTTGTTCTTTTGACTAACATCTATTTGAACAGTGTTTTAAGATTTCTTAGACTTCAGTTAATGACTTGGCTGATGTCTTTTGATAGGCTCTTTGATATTGAAACAAAAGTTTGATTTTTTTTTTTTTTACAACAAAAGTTTTCCTTATTTCCATGGTAAACTTTGCCCAAAGGATCCCTGTATAAAATGTGTTATTTTCTTTCCTTTAAAGAATCTTAGGGAGTAATTGGATGGGACTAACTAATCAGAATAATATTAACAAATTTTAGATTTTAACGCCTTGCTTTTTTGTTGAGATCAATGCTAAGAAGAAGTTGTTAATACATAGGATTTTTGGTTTGCCTTTCTGGCATAGGCATCAAAAATTGGATGGAATTAATTTCCTTGATAAGAGTTGCTACTTCATGGTAAAGCTGATTATGTAAGCCTTAAGAGTAACCTGAAAGGAAAGGAGTATTTGTATTGATGTTATAATTTTTCCTTGAATAAATAAGGACCTCAGGGTATTCGTTCTGGATTTCTCCAAACTTGTAAGTTAATTTATGGTAGCTGATTCATTTATTTATTTAAATTGAGTAGCTTGCATTTGCATTATTAAGTCTTTTATATGTGAAGTGCTTTTAGATGCATAGTTTAGAATGTATGTTCTGATTAGAGCAAACGCTAGTCTAGTTGCATAAATAATATTTTAGAGTATAGTCTTAAGCTGAAATGTTTGTAATAGGGTGATGCTTGACATAGGCACTAGGTGGCAGTCTCTAATACTTTATTGTGCTGTTAATTTTGAGCTGAATCTCAGACTTCATTATGTTAAGAGTTTTCCTAGCTGTGTTTAAAAAAAAAAAAGACAGCTATTTAGTTTTAACCTGATGTCGAGTCAAATTCTGTGCCTGTTTGTGAATATCTGTATGGATGTTACTGCTAAAATATTAAAATTCAGGTAAATGTAATGGATTTTAACCTATTACTTTGATCTTCCTTGTTTATAAACTCAGCTTTGTTTTTGTTAAACAAGTTTTCTGCTCTTCTGAAATTACAATTAAAAATTTGAAAGACCAGTTGCTGGTTTTGGGTGTTGTTCAATATACTGAAGACAGCAACACTGAAAATACCATGTACACTCACACATGTGTGTGTATGTGTGTATATATATGTACACACACCTGCGGTGTTAAAACTTAACCTGCTTGCTTGACAGTATTTTTAGCGTGTAAGGCAGGATAGAATCCAGTTTAATCTACTCAATTTGATTATGTTAACTTTAAAGTGTTATCAGGTAAGATGCAGTGAAACTGAGATCATCTTGAGTGAAGGCGACTTTGTTTTTGTAACAGCTCCTGAAGCAATTTCTTTTGTCACAGTTTTCTCAAACGTTTATGGAATTAATTTCCCTAGAATCTCTTTACTTGTTTACTACTTGAGGCTTTGTCTGATTCATTAATGTTTTAAAGTTGGTGGCTTTTTATTGAACGGTTCACAATTCATGTTTATAGTATGTAATGGAACTTTTTCAGATGTAATGATTCTTATTTCCAAATATTCAGAGCCTGCACTGTGCTTTTTGGGGTTTTCTGTTGTTTTTCTAGTTAGGCTGACTTGATTTGTTATGGCAAAAAAGATTTGGGGTTTTCTTCTAGCTCAGGAAATACATTTTTATGTGTTTGTAACAAAACAGAGTTCAATAGGTAAAACACATCTGTAATTACAAAAGGTACTTACAAAGCAGGTGGCTGTTTATCTTTTATCTTGCTCTTCCTCACAAATGTCAAGTAAGTGTTGAGAGACATGACTAGTTGTTATTTGAACCTGCCACATCATATTCCATTCTGTGTAGTAAATAAAAGTGCTCCTCCCTTCATCTTGACTTTTTTCTCAACATCTCAGTGAAGTGATTGAGCAGTGAGTGTTTTGTCTCCCTCCCAGTTTACTCTTCAGTTCATTTATTTCCTCATAACTCTTTCTGCTCTTCTCAGTGTAGAAAAAGATTGTATTACCCATTCTTTCTTTAAAACGATAAAACCACATCCTATGTAAGATGGGCTAATTCCTGTCTATGGTATTGTGTGCAGTGCTTAAAGGTAGGGGGAGTGCTTTATAGCCTCTTCCACATGTTTTAATATTCTGTTTTACAGAGCTTTGAAAGGGAACAAAGAGTAATGTATCTTAAAGAAATTTGTTTCCTTTTTCTGCCTAGACAGTGTAAGTGCTTCGGTTTAACTGCTAAGTCATCTTCCTCATCACTTGATCTTTCCTTTTGAGTAAATTTAGTTCTGTGTATTTTTCGGAGCTATATTGGTGTTAACATAGCTATTTTAGAGAGACTCTAAAACTTTGAAAACTTCAGTCAGAAGAATCCAAGACTGTCGTTAAGTAAACTAAACTGCTGGTTAAATTCTGTGGTCAAACTGGCAGAGGCTGAATCATCAGATGGTCGTGGTTTTGGCAGGTGCAACTTCATTATTGCTATGCTCTGTAAATAGTAGGGTGCTCTTAAAAAAATTAACAAACACTTCACAAAATTAAATTGCATCTTCTGAAATTACAAAAAAAAAAAAAAATCAGCTCTGCTGTATTTTCTTCCCAGTCATGGAAGTTTCCTAAATTATTCTCTTCAAATCTTATAAACTACTCTTTTTATTATATTCTTGGACAACATAAAAGCACATACTTCGCTGGAACAACAAATCTAAGGTAGAGAGAGAAGTGGACCTCATGGAGTTCTCTTCAGAATTAGAGGCCTTGATGATAGGTTCCTAGAACTATACCTGTGATTGAAAGGTACGGTTTCCTTTTACAATTCAGACACTTTTTTTTATTAATACCTCAGACCCAGAGATTCTGGGCAGATTAATCTCTCTGCTTGTTTTGAAACACTTTTATGGAGCTAACTTTTTGTTTTTCTTGAAAATATGTTGCACACCAATAAAAGCTCTTGTGGGAATGTGGAAAAGCTCTTCTGTATTATTTGAAAAACACCATGATATGAAACCTAAAATTGTATGTTAGTGAAACTCTGATGGGACTCCCAATTTAATTACGCTTAAAGGCATTTTACATCTTGTCCACAAAGCAAGTAAGGACTTGGAACTTATTACGGAAAGTGAGACTTTCCCCCCCCCCCCCCTCCAAATTCTAGCTTTTTCAAGAAAACACAGAAGTAGATTATGAATTTTCTTATACATGAAGATTGATTGACAAGATCTTTAAATTTCTTCCATGTGGAAATAGATAAAGATTATAAATGTGTTCTGTTTTTCTTTTACTCTGCTCACTTCTCCCTGAAATAAGTGAATTTAGGTCCTGTCAGCAATAACATAATTAACTTCAGTTGTATTATATGTACCTCTTAAAATTCCCATTGCCTTCCTGTGAAATCATAGATTTACGCTTTTCAGTAGGAAATAAATAGAACAGCATTACTTCAAGAAAGAAAGTGTAGAAAGAAAGCATCTCGGGGAAAAATCCCCAAACACACCAAACCAAATAAATATACTGGCATTCTTCTTATGGACATTATTTCTTTGTTCATATTATCAGGTTATTAAATAAATTTGAACCTTTGTTGCACACTTATTCCCAAGCCTAATTTTTTTTTTTTGCTAAGGGTTGTAGCTGATAAATACATAAACTTCCTATTGTCTGGTTAAGTTCGTTGAGAAAGTAGTGCACCTGTCCACCAAAATGTGTGGCTTTCTACCAACCAGGAAAAGGCAGGTGCATTCAGTATTTTCTGTAGTAAACTCTCAGATCAAGTACTCCTTTCTCCTTTCCATAACAGTGCATAGTGTAGCAACATTACAACCTTCTCTTTCTTTCTTTCTTGTAAATCAGACCGAAGGGAAGAGCACTTTCACTTCCTTTATAGGATGGAATGTGGTGTCACAGGGATTCCTCCTTGGTGAGTAAATCCTGATTTTTTTTTTTTTTTTCCTTCTATGCTGTCAGCCAAATTCACATATCTACATGTAATCAGTAAAAAGACTGATTACAAATGAATAGTGTAACTAAATTAACCAACATACTTCAAAGGAGAGACCAACACTTAGTTTTAATAACCAACACATAAAATTGATTCAGTGCTGTTTATGGTAGGTATATTTTCATATGTAACTTTGCATCATTGTGGAAATAGGTTGTGATCTTAATAGATTTAAAACATTTTTTACATAGAGTGCCTGTGGACCAGTTCGGCCCAATTTAAAATAGGATATCTTGGAAAAACTATAGCCCCTGCTGTACTTAGTTTATAGTGCCTTAAGGTTTTTTGCGTTTATTCGAAGTAATGCTTCAGTCAGGTTCATAGCTATATTTTTGTGTGTACTTCAAGCAGTTTTTTGTAATGCTTAACATAAATTTGGGGGAGTTCTGAAAGTTCATTGCCAGGTATCTTAGTATTAGACTCGAAGTTGATTCTCTGCGTAATAAAATACAGCAGTTTAGCATGTGTTCATTTACTGACTTCAGTTGTTATAGTTGATTCTGTTATTAAAAAAGTAAAAGCTTAATGAAAGCTAATTCTACTCGTCACTTACTTGAAACCTCATTTTTTTTTTTTATTTATTTTGAGACAGCTCTCATCGGGGCCTAACAGCAAGGTTGGTTTTGTTTCATTCTTAGCATGGTCTCTTGCTGTGTTGTGTGCATGTTGAGGCTTTTTATTGTTTGAGAAATTAAATGCCATCTAATCTTGGCAAACTCAGCTCTCCGAATCTTAGAATTCCTCATTTGGGACATATTTTTATCAGCACTTAGTCTGTATATCTCACAGTTTTACAACAGTGAATACTGCATACTGTAAGCTGTGTCTCTTTTTAAAGTCTCAAACTGGATATTAGATTTGATCAAAACAGCTTTTCTTCCTGAAGCCAAACTTAATTCCAAACTTGACCATAATTGTAGGAAAATATTTCTAATAGATCGCTTTGCACATTTTGAAAATTCTTAGCATGTAGCTATATGGGCAAGTATGCCCTTCAGACAAACTTGCTTGGGTTTTGTTTTTCCTGACATCTTCGCTTAGTATGCTAACAGGAAAATATCCCCTTATGTGTTAATCTGATAATTCTTGTTAATGCTTCATATAAGATTAGGAATTTACAATACCACAGTTCGTTAATGAAGGATACATTGAAGGATTAAGACTTTGATCAAGACTAAATATCTACACGTAAAACAAAATCCCACAGTTCAGTTTTCATACAAGTATCTGTGATGTGAAAATGGAGAAAGAAAAGACATCTAAACAAAACTTTATCTAGATCAACGTTTCAATAACTGAAATATTAATTAATATAAACCTCAGTGGTGTCTAACTTTTTCGAAGTGTTAATATTAAATACATAAAACAGTTAGAAGGGGTTTGCTATAAAATACTTGCTCAAACTTGTAACTTCAGTGCTAAAACACTACTTCAGTGCATTATTAGCCAATAAACCTATATAAATGAAAAGGTTTTTTTAATAGTGTAAAGTATAATATTTGTAAAAATAATACTGTTATCTTAAGAGTTTATAAATATATAGGTATGCAGATGGTTAAGTTCATTATTTTATTAAGGTTAAATTATCCATCTAAGATGTTATTGCAATGATAGTATGTTCATATCTTTAAATTACTGTATCTGTGACATCACTATTGGAAACTTTGTGCTAACTATGAAGGAGTAATTGTTTAGAGTAATCTGAGTTATTTGGATGAGACGGTACTAAAGGAACCAGTTAAAAATGCAGTCATCCTGTTGGACATCTTTAAACTGTAAAATTAAGCAAGAAAAATGTATTGAATTCCTGTCGGTTTAAAAACAAACAAGCAAACAAAAAACAACAAAAAACCACCAAAAAAACCCAAACCAAAACCAACAACCAAAATTCTACAAGGTGACTGGAAAACCGTATCTAATCAGACTAATGAGGATTTGAGGAACACCAGAGAGTCTGAAAGACAAAAGTAAAAAAGTCATATGATAGCATATGACAGTCTGCGCAGAGTTAAGTTTAAAATAATATATGCAGAGTGCTTATGCATCGGATGCTAAAGTAATTAAGTACTCAGACAAGTATACTTTTCTACAGATTACTTTGTATACAATACAGTGAAAACATTGTTCATTTTGCAATGACAGTTGCTGAAAAGCATACCATAGACTACTATAGTGAGATTTTTTAGAGTTTTTTGTACAGTAAGAACGAATTCCTGTTTGTCCTAGGTGCATTTTATGTTTCAAATGGTTTAACCACTTTAAATTCAATAAGAAAGGCTTATTAAAATGCTTAACACCCAATCTTGTTTGTTTTGGAAGTCAGTCACTTAAGCAAACTTGTGCATTAGCTACTTGTGATTTGTAACATACTAAAGCCAAGTATCAGTAAACTGTGATTTATTTTTAATAATGCTCTACTTGTTGCTAAGTAACTTTAATTGTACAGCTGTTGGAACAAAAAAGGGATTGGTGGGGTAGATGCCAATACATTGAAAGCCTTGAGCTCTTTTGCTTCTTTAATAACTTAAAGGAAAAATACTGTGAAATCCAACATGCTGTTCTGTTGAAACAGTCACCAACATTTTATAGCGGGAGTATGACCATTTATATGGTCATAGCCCTTATGAATGATTGAACTAATGTTTTTCAATCAGTAGATGGAGACAGAACTCTTATTACTATATGAAATGTGGATCATGGCCTTTTGAGTATGGTATCAAATAGACATACCTTGAAAATGACAGTCAGGTAACTCGGTCCTTAAACTTTCACTTGTGTAAGGAGATTGCTTATGATGAACACTGTTTTTCACACCAAATTTTTCTTCACTGGGTAGCTATTTTACGTATATCTTGAAATAAGTTTGAATTTTAATTTTGTAACACTTAGAGTGGATTTTCTTACAAATGTTACAAGTAATCATGAAAAAAATTCAGATTTTTTTTGTTGTTGTTGTTCCTAAAATGTGTAGAACAAATTTGTGGGTAGCCAGAATATTTAGTACTATTCTAATTTGATAGTATTTTAATTTAATTTTATAGAATAGTAAGTTCTTCCTAACTGTTTGTAAGGGAAGTTGCTTCTTTTTAGCTTTCTAAATGGGGAGGACATACACAGATCCAGTGGTTTTCTAGTGAAAAGACTTGGATTCACACTGTCTAAATGTGTCTCAAGGTGGGTGAACCATAAACTGGAAAGTTTGAAGAATGAGTATTAAACCTTGAGCTTATGAATTGTGTGGAAAAAAGTAATTTTTTCTGTAAGAGACCGGTCTTCTGAATTCCTAATTCTTGGTTGATGTCAGTCAGCGCACTGTATAAATTTTGTGGTAGTTTCACTTTCAATTGCCTCAAACACTGCGTGATAAGCATTGAGCTTGGCATGCTTCTGCTTTTGTTAATTGACTGGGCTGAAACAGAAGCATGCTGTGGTGGAATAGGGAGGTATAGTAGTAAGGCTTGCACATCACTTTCTTATATTAAAATGAATAATAAGCTTGTATATCTCCTTAAGCCTGCATTTGTATAATTATATTATTTGGAGACACAAGGGCTTGTTTCAGTGGAGATTTTCTGTCAATTAGTAAACGTAATGGTAAATGTACCCAAAGGCTGAGGAGCTTGAACATCGTGTTAAGTACATGCTGTAGAATATTGAAGTCCCTGTGTGTGTTTTTTCTGTGTTGTCTTAATTTGCTAGTTAGTGTTACAGTATGAGAGCGTTTATCTGTAGCGAATGGTTGGATTTTCACTCTGAATTCATGCAGATTGAAGAATCATCTCATGTTTAAGCAGCTCGATGTATTCAGCAGTAGTAACGAGATTTTATGTAGCAGATAACAGAAAGAATGGATAAGCCTTACTCTTTACTGTTAAGATACTTTGATGTTTGAAGAAGTTTAATTTAAAAATATGATTCCTTGGTAGACTAGTCTGTACGGCTAAACGTGGGAACTCAAGGCTTAGCATAATGAAACCACTGTAAAATTCTGTAAAGAGCATCTTGGAGAGCATGACTTACAGCAAAAATGTTAGAAGTAATAATGGAATAATGGCAGAAAATAATTAGGTGAAAAGACAGAAATCGTGTATCTTAATAAGGCATATTTGAAGGACAGTCAAAATGCCCTGAATCTGCATATTTACTGGTTTATGAGATGTGAAAGTTGTGATTTAAATTATATTCAGCTGTGTAATCAGCCAAATTGTGAAACAATTCACATAACATTATTTCTGGAATCCAGTAGGATATTAGGGGAACTGCATCTTGGACAAAGGCTCTCATGATACTGTCTTTTAAGAGCGGAGTTCTAAAAGCCGGGAAAGTAATATTTAATTCACTTCTGCAGCATCACTGTATGCCTGGGATAGCTTTGAAGAAAAAGACCAGCTGATTTCTATGGAAAGATTCTACTGCTTACTGTTTTGTAACCGGAATGATTAAATATAAAATAAGATAATTGTTATGCTCTTTATTTATTGTTCTCCTTTTCTCACTCATGAGAAAAAAACACCGATAACTAATTTTCATGTGAAATCTTTCCCTCTGTATTCTGTCACACTTCATGCATAACTGTAAAAATACGAAGTCTTCTGAAATGAGCTAAGCTATTTCAACTTCTGATATCTCTCTTCAGTGGTTTCTAGAGTTGTACAGTAGCTCAATATTGTCTAGTTCTTACTTCTTGGCTCTCTACTTTCAAATGAGATATTGAAAGTATTATCAGCACTATGCTATGTATTTCTTCTTGTTTTTTGACCTTTGTATAGTTGTCATAGCTTGGCCAATACTGGCTTTATTCTTTGTTTTTGAGATTGTGTAGTACTCATGGTGTGGATGAATACAGCATTATGAATTTGTATGTGATATTAATCACGAGGTCTGATTACTTAGTGCTCAAGATTGCTCTGAAACTACTTTCCAGCGGTGGCACTGAGTAGTTACTGGAGACAATAAGTAGAAACATACATTGAGAAAAAAGAATGCAGAAAATGTGTGTGCAATGGGTGGGCTAAGACTTTTTATGACAGGCATATAATCACATCAGCCTCTGTGTGTGTATATGTATTAAACAGTTTAATGCGAAGGATAGGAGTGATTTGTGACAAATACAGATTGAACCAATGTAAGCCTGATCATATACTAAAGCTGCAATGTTCAGTTCTCACTGAACACTGACTACATCATTTCATAACTGCAGGCTTTGCAGTTAGTTCTTTGTATTTGCCAAAAGGTGACAAAACATTAGATTTAATCCATTTACTTGATTTCCTTGTCTTTGTAGGAAGTAATTATCCCTATCCCATATTCTGTTCAGAGCCACACCTCAAAATCCTTTTGTAAATGTTATTAGCCAGAGCGGAAAAGGATTCTGCTGCAATAAAAGTGCTTTTGTGGATTTATGCAGTAGTCATGATTAATCTCTCTCAATCGGAAACACATTAGTTTTAGACCATAGAATACTTGCCTAGTCAATATGAAGGGGTCTTTCTTAGTGTACAATGAAAGAACACTGGAATATATTTTAAATGCCAGGATCCTCTTACTCTTTTTACTTTCTAGAACACAGTTTTCTATACTCAGCCTTTGCAATAATCCCTTGAACTGACTAGGAGTTAGAGATGCTGATAGCTCTTCTGTCATCAAACTGAGTAAATTGAAACTGTGAGGATATTTTTATGACTTCTTTTAAAGATGTGTTTTGAAGAAGTTGTCACAGCATTACAGTTGGTTCTGCTTCTCAAGAAGTTATTGCATGATTTTGAATAGAACATCAATAGAGTGTATTCATTTTTTTTCTGACATTTTAACTAAAAATATAGTGTTTACTGCAGTTTTTTCTAGATACACAGACTACTGAGAAACTAAATTCAAGTCGCTTTGAGAGGTAAAATTCTCTAAAAACATTATTTGAGTGTACTCTATTCTATAAAAGCTTAATTCCTGTAAGGCACAGCCATCAAGTGTAGTTGATCTGACCCTTTTGGGCAGCCTTTGAGCTGAATCGTGGTGGTACTCAATTTGTTCTGTACACAGCACATTCTCAAAATATCTTCATCTTTCTAGTGTATACGATGCCGTGTGCAAGTTTGAACGCACTTTAATACGGCATTGTTCTCCTGAGTTAGTTTTCAGAATTGAGACCACCTTTAGAAGAGCCGTTGTGCTCTTGATTGTGTAGTCTGTTCTTAGAGTTTGTATTCCCCTGTGATGCTTGCTATCTGCTTTTACATCGGCTTCTCCTGAGTTGATTTTACTCGAGTGTAGTCATACTGATGAAAATCAACACAAGCAGAAGAGTGGTAGGGTTAACAGTACAGAATAACTGCAACTTATGACTGTACTGGTGGCTGAACAGCTTTGATGTTATCTTTAAGCCGGAAAACCTTCAACATTATAATTTTCAGTCTGTATTGATTTGTGGACATCAAAGCATTTTCCTCTGAGAATCTTTCTGGACTGCTTCAGAAACTTCATAAACAGCTTCTGCTTACTAGTGCATTTCAACAAGAGACCATCCCATCGTAAAAATTGGTACCTCGCCGCACTTTTAAAATACAGACTTTTGAATTGGGTGTCTCTCTTGCTAGTCAGGTTTTCTCTACCAGGTACTCACTACTTCTCTAATGATAAGGTAGGTGTTGGCTGGAAGAATGAAGACGCTAATTTTCCGAGTGACAAATTCTGATTCTCTTTTTCAAATGCTAAGACCTGGCATTATTGTTGTGGAGTAATAATATCTTTACCACTTTATCCCAATCTATATTGTGGCGTATGAGTGTTGGCTGGGGGACTCGTACTGAAATGACTGAGTACACTTCCAAAATTGAAGTAGGTTGGAGAAAAAGAAACATGTTGTGTTACTCAGCATATGAATGGTAATCATAATCATGGGCTTGCTTAAATACTGTAAATGTTTCAATATGTGCTAATATATTTAAATAAGTATAATCATTCAAGTCCGATGTAATTAAATAGGGCAATAAACTTTCAAAATGTAATTTTGCGGCTTGGAGAAGGTGGATTGATTTCTGTGTGTCATGCAAGGGTGTAGTCATAGGTTCTTCAAGCAGCAGGCAAATGGACACTTTCAATTTTCTTGAAGTTTTTAAATTGGTGTTTTCAGTTAAAACTCAATTCGGGGGAAGAAAAAAAAGGAAGAACATTCACTGAAGCTTTTTGTGAAGGACTTAGTCTGACATAAAATGTGGCCTGGTTACTGTTACTGGATGACTTCTGAGAGCAAGAAAGCGTGTCTTAGGGTGAGAAAGCCACTCTAAGCAGTTCTGGTGTGCTGGACCAGGTTGAATTCTATTATTCAGAATATAATTAATTCTAATACAGATTATGCAGTAAAAAGTATGTAATAAAAGGAGTAGTTGCTCTCTGTTCAAAGTGTAATACTGTAAATCTGAGAGTTCTGGAATCTTTCTTGCTCATATTCCTAGAATGAGCATGATCTATTTACTCATTGTAGAATGACACTGTGTGGTTCTGTGAGTGTTACAATGCATGAATATTGTCTTCAGGGCTTTTTTCTTTTGAATGGAAGACCGCAAAGAAACACGAAGTGTAACACTCTAGCTCTGATGTTGTATTTAAATAGAATGAGTCAGGTAGCTGGGATTTTTGACTTGTCTGCAAGGTCTGTAGAATATCTTGACTCCCAGAGGTCATAAGTAACTGTTTGGGTACTTTTTTAAAAACAGCATGAATTTTTATCATCTTGCTCTAATTTTTTTCTAAATGTATTACCAGTTTATGGGAGCATTGTCTAATCTCTGGATAACCTAGTGATTTAAGAATACAGAAAATGAAAATTCATAACTGGCATTCTGCTAATTGGTTCTGACTTTTGTGAAATTTTAACTTCTGCAAAAGGCTTTCCGTGTATATTAAAAATAAATACATATAATAGAAATTATTTCTGTATTTTTTGATAGTTAATTCTCAAAGAACCTTTTGATTTAATTTGAGGGCTTTTAAAATGCTTTGCATCCTATTAATACTGAAATAAGTAAATAGACAAGTAAATACTTGTCTATTGCCTTGCAATTTCATTATGCTTATGGCTGCTATTGTGACAATTGAGGTAAAGCTATTTTCTTCCTGTAGTTTTAGTTTATAGGATGAAATTGTGTAATGATTCATTTAGTTTTCTGGGTTACTTGTGGGACTATAGATCGAAAACTTCTGCATTGGTTCAAGATCAACCTCAAGCTCTGATGTCAAATTGTTTGCATTTACTGCTGCAGAGCTTAGAGCTAAAAGGAGATACGGAATTGTGTTTAAAACCTGTAGGAACAGATTATGGTTCTGTAGGAACAGCATCTGGTTCATTATACTGAAATTGAAGGTGACTGCTTAATTTCTTTTTCTCTTGGTTATAGCAAATACAATTTCTGTAATTGAGGAAGTCAAAATGATAGGTAGAATTGGCTGGAAGAGGGAAGGTAAATTAAAAACCAAAGGGCATGCATGCGGAAGGTTCTTAACAAGTGGGAGCTCTTCCCCAACAAATACAGTATTTTACCTAAATGGATGTGGCAGATGAGAGAATGTGATCCTGTTCAGGAGTGTGTATCACAGTCATGGTGTTACTTACGTGTTGGAGTGAGGGGCAGGGGAAGGGGCAGTAATAAACTACATTGAAATATATGCTTGATTAACAGCTTCTGTAAATTCCTATTGACTTGGTAATATTTGTATTTTGTGACTATATGACATTTAGTGGAACTTTTTGCCCCTTTGTATTTCAGTGATAGACGTTTGCTACAACCTGCTCAGGTATGTGACATTCTCAAAGGAGTTATATTGGTCATCTGCTACTTCATGATGCACTATGTTGACTACTCTATGATGTATCATCTGATAAGGGGACAGTCTGTCATAAAGCTCTACATCATCTATAACATGCTTGAGGTAAGAATGCTGGCATCAGAATATCAAGCATGCTTTTTTCACACTCTCTCAAATATTGTTGTATTACAGTATTTGTACTTAGAATATGGTACATCTCGTATTCTCACAAATGTGCACACATCCATGATAATAAGCCTAGATGCAGTGAAACAGACAAATTAGTGAGAAATAAATTTTGTAGATACTGTTTCATGTTGCGTAGTTCTTGGAGCTTATTAATCAATTTAGTTGAATGAAAATAGAGAACTGGAAATGGAAGAAGACATGTCTTAAACTGAAATGCAAGAAGTGGAATGAATGAGTTTTTGAACTCATTGAGGAAAAGTAGAAACTATTGTTTTGAAATAGTGTTAAGATCCTGAGAGAGAGCAGAGAAGGAATATGGTAGAAGACATGGAATTCGGTTTTTAATTCTTCATTATGGAAGTATAGCTTTCATTGTATGCAAGGACACATGTTACTGCTTAACCTGTGTCAGTCCTGGCTAGCAGACAAAAGCCTGAGTACACAAACAGTAAGTTATATGAATATAGTGAAACAAGAAAAGGAAATTCTGTTTTGGGAGGCGAGATGAAGAGAAATTTTGGGGAAAAAAATTGTTTCTGTTTTGTTATTAATGTAAAGCATGAGATTTTTAATTGCACTTGTATGATCAGTGATTCACAAAGTAAATAATGTTTTCATAGCCACAATCTTACCTCCATCCTGCAAATATGGGACATATTAGGAATACAATCTCTTAAAAGGACTCAATCAGAGCTTTGTACACAAGAGTTACTCTACTAGGATTCTGGGATCTCTGAATAACATATTAATCCTTGTTTGAACATCTGTTGTATCTTTGTTTGAAGACTGCTAAAACGGGGCTACACTTCGTGCAAAATCTGAATATTTTGTCTAAAGACATTTGTTCTTTCCTCATAAAATATGAAAATATTGCATAAGGAACACACTTCATTATCCTAAGCGAAATAAATATCATACAAGCCACCTCAGTTATTTATTCATAGGGTTTTGTTTCCTCTGATTTTTAGATTTGCTGAAAAACATGTACAGATATTAAATTGGCACTGAGTTACTATGTGGATTTTAGTTGTATTGGGAAATATCCATCCATATATAGTTCCATAATCTGTGAGTGATTATCACTTACTAAATAAATCCATGTGCTCAAAATAGTAATTTCTCTTTATTTCAAGACTGCTTCAAGTCACTTCTCTTAAAGCTGAGAAAGTACAGCGCTATGTGCTTACCATGTAATTTGAAGAGATACTGCAGTGTTTGCTGTGAATTGGAAGCCATGTGCCATTCCTTTTTGAATGAAGAGGAGAAGAGTTGAGTTTCTTTGCTACATTTGGCAGAACCAGAAGTGTGTATTGGAATTAAGAAGTGCTGCCAGAGTTTCTGTTTTTTTAGGAGAGGGGGAAGTCTCTTACCACTCAGAGTTACTAGAAAAATTACATTAGACTTTGAAGTTGCAAACGGTATTTAATTTCCATGGTGTCTCATGAAACTCAACATGCCAAGCAGAGGGCATGTTTTTTAAGGGGCTTTTTTACCATGGTAGGTTGCAGCCACAGTATTGGCAGAAAATGTCATGGGATCTCACTGAAAGACTTGGTTGATAGTCAGCTTTCAACAATTTGAATATTGGCTTGCTTAGACTACTTTGGTGAATTTTGTTATATGTCTTTGCTACTAATGCACGCAATGTGTTTTAAGGAACTGTTAAATACGCCTTTTTTTAAGTAATAAACTTTTAATTTTCACAAGCTTTCAAAATAGGAAGATCTTTTTAATTTAGTTAAATCACCAAGCAACAGAGATGTTTACAATGTCCTAATGTTTTCGGCTGTTGACAAGTCCAGGGAATATTGTCCTGGACAGATATGAGGAATGCAAAATCTTCAAATTATGTGCTGAATGCTCCAGATAGACAGCCTAAGGGGAGCATTCAGCACATTTGGCTTAAATGACACTTTTCTTTTTTAGATTCAGACCCACCGGCTCCTGCTCCTTGTGAAGCCCCAGTGTGCGTTACGCTGGTGACAGCACTCACCATGGAATTCTGCTGGAGCCTGGAGCCGGCATGTAGGGTTTAGGTAAGTCATATTTGGAAAAGCAAGCAACAATATTGTGTGGTGGGTTTTAATATTTTCTATCCTGTCAGCTAAGATACAAGGACTGCTTAAATAAAAAGGAAAGCAAAGCCACCATTTTCTCTATTAAAACCCTCACAATATTGTGAACAAAAACTTACCAAAATCTAAGAATTCTGTAGTTGGTGTTACTACACCGGTGTAATTACTCAACGGGTCATTACAATGAGCAGGAACCAAATAATGCAGACCACCTTAATTTACAAAATTTAAAAGCCGAAAACAGTACCACTGTAAATATCTCTCAAACTGATGGGTTTTTGAACTTCAGATTTATGATAATTCATCAGCTCATGGTTTTGTTCATTTTATTTCATAGGTGATGCTTAAAGAGTAGCATACACTATGGTTTACTTGTGCATATATTCTTTGGGTTACACTTCAGATGTTTGTAGTTTTTTCAACTCCAATTAAAAATTTGTTTTAATTCAGCCTTCATATTTTAGGAAACTTCAATAACTGTTGGCTTGAATAAGTATATGGCTTCTCTCCCTTTAGTATCTTTACTTTTAGAACTCTTAATTAACAAAGTCAGGAAGTGATCCCAAATCTAGGTTTACTTACGTTGTCTCAAGAACTTATTTTCTAGTTAGTAGGTGTGATTCAATATTTGCAGGTACATCGTGCACCTAATTCTACATTGCTACATGTTGTTTTAACATGTCCAAAATTGTCTTACAGAAAGACAGTAAGAGGAAATCCCGGTTCTCTTTATTAAGTAATCAGTTTTTCATATTTAACTATTTCTGTTCGGTTGAGTTAGTAAGCAATGAAAGATAGCTTTTTTTTTTTAGGCACAGACATGTGCCTTGTGATACCAAATTTAATTTTCGAAGTGCTATTTTTGTTGTCCTGTGCAGCTTAGTTCTAAAATTACTGAACTGTAGTGTATAGGCAGAAAAAAAGTCATTTCTTGTAATGATCTTCAGTTTCACATGCTTGCTGATGATAAAGTGTTGAGAACTGGTGGAACTCCATGTGACCTTTCTTGCTGTGGTATTGAATTACAAGCTCAGATTGCTGTCCGAGTTTTTCCTATCTTTAGAATTACTGCTAGTTCTTTTTCCTACTTGTGCATATATTCTTTGGGTTACACTTCAGATGTTTGTAGTTTTTTCAAACTAATTTTCCCTTTTTGGCAGAATTTCTAGGCTCTCTTGATCACTTGTTATTGTGTTATAGTACTTTTAATTTTGAATTCTGTTTTATGCAGAGATTTGTATTGAGTATCTACTTTATTCCAAGATGTAAGGAAACAGTATAGCCAAATCTAATTTCAGTCCTTTTTGTACCTGTAAGCTGATGTTATTCCCTATCGCACATTTTAAATTCACTTTTCATTATTTTTTTCCCCTCTTAAACCCAGAGAAATGGGGAAAAAACATTTAGGGTAGTTTGACACAACATACATGTTGCTTTATCAAAGGCTGAAGTTTGAACTTCAATATCTTCCAAGGAAGCATCTAAGATAGCGCTACATGGTTATATATTGTAAATACTGTTGAAAAGGGGATAGTAAATTTGAGAGGGGAAGTAAGCTGCTGAGTATACAAAAGGAGCAATATCACTGTGAAATCCATATTTCACAGTGAAATGGAATGAACAGAGATGGAAAGTGATAAATATGTGAAACTTTTTCTAGGTTGAGCTGTACTTACGGTGGCATATTCAAGTGTTGGAGAGAAAAATATTGCTTTAAGGCAGTAAAAAGTTGTTCTTGTTTAGGTGGCTGATCGTCTGTTTTCTTCATTTGGACAAGATATTTTGGATGCTCTTTATTGGACAGCTACAGAACCTAAGGAAAGAAAAAGAGCTCACATAGGTGTGATTCCTCACTTCTTCATGGCAGTGCTGTATGTCTGTATCCTTTTTCTTCAGTAAATTGCAAAATTTTCTGAATTAAATTACACAGTAATTGCTCTGCATTATTTTATTTTAATATATTTGAAAAATTGATAGTATTGCTAAATCAGTATTCCTTTACTTTCAAAGTAAGATTGCCAGTACCACAGGTTTTTTAAATGAATGAAAAAACCCTTTCAACCTGCTTTAAAAAAAGAAAACTTCATAATGGTATACCACTGCAGTAGTAGACAGCTTTTTTAATACCCGATGTGTAGTAAAATGAAAAACAGTAATTGAATAGTTCATGGAAACTTTGATTTCTGATTTGTATTTGGGTATTTTGCGTCACAGGGTCTTGAAGACAGTGGGGTTTTGTTGTTTAGTGGAATGTTACAAACACCTAGCTTGAAAACATTTTCTTGAAATGAAGGGATAAACTCATGCATATTCAGGATGCAGATGAGTTTAGTGTGAAGAAACCTTACATTGAACTAATGAAACTGATCTGTAAAGAGATACGTAGTAGGATAGATGTGGTGATGAATTTAGAATTCTTGTACTTCCACCTGTTTTCTCTGAAATCTTTAGGCTAATTCTGAATCTTTATTTACCTCAGCTTTTTTTTCCTTCAGGTTGTATTGCTGTTTCTCCTGACTAATGTCATTGGGCTCTTTTAGAACAAGAAAAATTAACATAATTATTACCTGCTACAGAGCACTGTGGGTACATTACATAGGTTTAAGTACTGTGTTGCTGTAAATCTAGTTGACAGAGAAACTTTTTTGTTAAATTTTGGAAACAAAATAATTTGACTTTTGGTGCTGTTCAGTACTGTTGTGCTGAAAAATTATTTCCAAATATGCTTCCTTAACTCTGCTGTCTAGTCCTGCATGCTATTCTTATAATGGTTCAAGCAACAACCCTTAATGTGGCCTTCAACTCCCACAATAAATCACTGCTTACCATCATGATGTCTAATAATGTAAGTATGTAGCTTTATTATATAGTTACCCTAATTTTTTTCAGCATCCTTCATCTTTGTGTATCATATGTCTATTTGCGTATTATTTGATTGTCTGATTTGTTTATATCCGTTTTTATCAATAAAAACTAACTAACTGTTTTTAAAAATTGCAGTTTGTTGAAATAAAAGGAAGTGTTTTCAAGAAGTTTGAGAAGAACAATCTTTTTCAAATGTCAAATAGCGGTATGTATAGCTTTGCTAATCAGGAGAAAATGTGAAGTGAGAGGCTGATTTTTTAATTTATTCATTTATTTAGTATTACTGTTAAAACAGCTTTACCTTGGTGAATTTGAGCGTTCTGACTTGAATTCCTCGTCTGCCCTGTTACTGTTTGATTCAGTAGGACGAAACTGGGATTCCACTTCTAGGAACACTGTTTTTCCTTAAATGGCTAGTTTTTATTTGAGGTGCTAAAACTACCTATTGGCTGTGTGCTAAAGTTACTGTTAAATAAGAATTTCAGATTTAAGTTATGGTATTAAAAATATCCATGCTTCGAAGTCTCTGAAGTCTTCTACGTTTTCAAAAAGTTGACTTTGTAGTGTGCTGTGTTGCCGGTGATCTCAGAATGCATGTTGTTTGGCAGTTGAGGATGGATCTTGAAATATTTCCCCTGTTTCCCTCCCCCGTCAAGAATGTAATGATGAAGTAGCTGGCTTTTGAAGGAAATACCAGAGATGACTGTAACTTTTGACATGCTAGCAAGATAATAGTAGAGGGTACTTAGGAAACATGTTATGCTTCTGGCACTTCTTAACTCTGTTGCTGCTTAGTATGAAATTTGGGAACTCTTACTCAGTGTGTCTCATGAGGAAACCTGTTACAGGTATCCTTTGATGGAGGTCCTTTCTAATACTGATATCAGCCATCTGAAATATTTGTTGAATTCTTGGTTTCAAAACTAATAGGAAAGATTGCACTTTAAGGTTGTACTAGAGTTTCTTTGCTTGTAATATTTTCTGATCTTTGAACACATTTGTTTCTTTATTTTGTGCATATGACTTTCTTGGTCAAAGCTATTTATACAGATAAGCAAACAAAGTAGAATATATTTTTTTCATTCCAACTCCTAGTTTTTTAAACCAGAGAACTCAAATGTTCAAGAAGTTAAAAAAAAATGTAGCTGCTTATTTAAAAACAGATGATTTGGATTTTTTTATCAAGAGTTAAACTTTCAGCAGGCTTGCTTCAGGTTTTGAATTCTGGTTATTGATGTGATTTTTGCCTAATTCATCTGCAAACTGCAGTGATATTACATGCAAATGTTAAATCACAACTGTTTTGTGATGCTTTGGATGAAAGACTGTTTACATAAAATCTTAAATATGTCGTATAACAGAAAAATTAGCACTAAATTTTAATCTACCTCATAGAAGTTCTTAAAAACCCCCAAAAATACTCTTCTCAGCTGGGTTGATAAGGTATTTATTCTGTGCTAATAGTTTGTATTTTTGGTTCCAAGATTTAAATACTTCCATTTTTTAAATTAAATGTATTTAATTTTACAGTGAGAACATCTAAAAGTGACGTTTACTAAAATATTGACAGAAAACATAGATGAGTTTTCTTAAATTTTCTCTCATCAGTCACAATACTTGCAGAAAATAATTACACGTATGCACCTAGCTCTCCTATCGTTTCTTGATTTAAATGTTGAAATAAATGAGGGACTGGTATTGGAAATGGCTAGTAATTCCCTCCATAAAAAGCACCTGCAGTAGTATGCTAGAAGAAATATATATCAATATTTTATTGCTAGACATTATTATTGAAGACCCACAATAGCAATATCAGGTCTCCCTTTATCACTTGGTGGAAAAAGTGATGCTATTCATTATACCATATGGGGATGGAAGCAAGTGAGTACATACATAGAATAGTGCACAAAACAAGCTAATTTATTTCCTTCAAACAGATAACTTTTCCTGGAACTGCTTCTCAGTGTGGTTATAAATAGCAACGTTATTTTTCTCACAGATAAATAATGTAGACAGGTTTTTAGGAGAGATTTTCACCTCTTTTGAACTTGAACAGATTTACTGCATCACAGCTTCAGTAAGGATGGATCAGTATTGCTTCAGTTTATGTACTCTGATAACTTTGTTATCCTTTAAATGTTTTTATTTCCTGAAGCTGAAATGGTAGTGCATCGTGCGTTGGCATGCTGTGCCAATGCTATATCCTACTCCTGAAACTGAGGCTAGTCTGGTCTGTGGACTGAGCACTCCACTTTGGAATGCCTTGTGCGTCGTAGAACATGACATGCTTGAACTGCATGCTTGGACTGAACTAACTGCTAAAATAAAGCACTAAATATAGGTTCCCCCATGTTTTTCCCACCTTTCTCTCAGTTTCTTCCAGCTGTTTTCTCAGGTCTGCAGTCTCTGCTGTAGGGCAGCAATTGCAACAGTAGCTGAGTAAGCTTAGGCAGACTGAATGGATACCCCCTTGCCCCACCTTTTCTGGGGATCTGCTCAAAATATTGCCATTGTCTCAAACACATGGCTTAAATTCTGTGAAAAGGTAGTGATTAGTACACAGAACCTAAATATACTAATTGTTGAGGGGAAAAAAATAAGGTCAGTCTTATAGAGGCATCTGAGGAACTTGGCATGAATAGGTGAAACTCCTTTCTTATTTAACATGTTAATCAAAAGAAAAATATGAACTAGCAGAAAAGTAAGATATCAGTGACCTCAGGAGTAGACATTGTGATCAAGAGAAGTTGTTAAAAATAGAATTCAAAAGCAAGTAATCTTGTGAATAGAAGCATGAAAACAGAAATGAACTGTGTCAGTTGTACTTTCTAAGACATGTCCTATATCGTGCATTGAAATACCTTGCAGAGCTCTGCATGGTGTGGAAGACGCTATGTAGTAAGACACCAGGGTATGAAGCGCCATCGAGCTACCAGTTTAGATCTGGAAATCGTGAAGTCTTTTTCACTTGGCATTGCGCTCAGCACTGGCTTGTGGATAGCAAGCTGATGTGTGGATGTACTATTTTTCCCAGTATTTCCAGTTCTGGACTTAGTGTCAGTGGAGTCAGTGATCCTTTTCACCTTTGTATGGCCATTTAAAATTCTGCTGAAATAGCTAATTCATTAAAACTTCAGGACTAAAAGAACTGTGAATCATCTACATAAAAACTAATTGAACACACCATGAGATATACATTGGTTACACAGTTATCTAATAAAACCAAACCTGTTATCTTTTAGATGCAGGAGGTCAACAAAGATCTTGGGGTTTGTATAGCTGCTTGAGATTGCAGCTACAGAATCTGTGATTTCAACCATATCTGCTCCTGCAGATTTGATTTGTCGCTGCAGCAAAACTGCTTTTGCATTGTCACCCTGACTTTTACTAGGAAATTTATGTGTATACCCAGGCAATCTAAACGCTGTGGCCATTGGAAAAGACTTCTATACAGAAGACATATTTGTTGTATTTGTTGTACCAGGAAGACATATTTCCCTAAATTTAAATAGTATATTCTCTTTTTGAAATAGATTATCTGTAAACTAATTTTGTAGGGTTCCAAAGGAGACCAAAATTATAAAGAGAAGCTCTTTCATTGTTGTTGAAAGCCCAACATGCTGCCTTCCTTTATGCGCTGTGCTCTAAACTAAATTTTTCACAAAACACAATTGTACGTCATATGAAGAAGTACATTAGGTGCAGTGCATTATGTTATTTGCTTCGGTTGGCTGTTTGGCCAGATTATTCCTTGTTTTTTAAATCTCTTGTCTCAAAAATTTAACGTATTTATTCTGAAGCTTTAGGAACTTCAGCTTTTTTCTTTATAATTTCTTACTCTTTTTTTTTTCTTAATTTTGTTCTTTCTGCTTTGTTCCCCATTTATCAGTCTCTTTGGCTTTGATCAAAATATTGAACAGCCTTTATTTTTACCTTTAGTCTCTGGAATTCAAACTGCTTTCTCGTGTGGCTTTAGTTTTTTTAATACCATTATTCTAATCCAGTTATTCATCTTAAGGATGAGGGATTTGGGGGCAGGAGTACATTTAAGATAGAGCAGTGCCTCCTTGATGATTCTTTGTTCAGTATTTGATCCTTTCTTGTGGTCTGGTCACTTGTAGTTGTCACTAGAGCTGCTTAGGATTTGCTGAGATGTAAACCAAAAGATCTTGCTTCACTTCTTACACACTATGATTTATAACCAGCTTTTGATCTAAACATATAAACAGTGGGATTAACATGATCAAAATTGTTTTTTCCTTCCTGATTAAGGATTCCTGCATAATGTGTCAGGGAACCTGGAAGGAAATAATTAGGTGTTCTAAAGACTATTTTCTACCCAGGTGAATAGAAGTGCTACTTCTGGATCTCTGTACCTGGGATCTCAGTGCCCTTTTTGTTAGTTACCACTGCAAAGTACCTAAGTTCTTCAGAGTTCAGGTCCTTCCTGAATGAGTTCAGTAATCAATTGTTTGGGATGTTGCCTAATCAATTACACTGGTCCATACTAGATGCAGTGCTGTCCTAGGAACATCCTTTATTTCCAATCACACCCATTTCAGTAGTCTTCTACATGTTTTTCAAAAGTGATGATACTCTCTGGCACATTGGCAATTAAATTTCGAGTCTCTGTGGCTATCAATGCTTTAAACTGAATGTCTCCATTTTCCAGAAGGATTTATAGATGGGCAGAATGTGTTATTAATATGGGCATAGAATTCCATTCAAATTGGAATGGCAGGGTTGATGTAGGCGGGGTGAAAGTATTTAAAATCTGATTTGGCTATGTGCAATCCTTTTTTAGGCTTTACTTCACAGAACAAATACAAGACAGAAAAGTACATCTTGCCTTTTTCTCCTATTGCATTTATGGCAGTATGCACACTACTGGCTTTGAAATAAATATTTACCACCTCTATTCATGTGACAACCCTAATAGGCACACATGACTTATCTTCATGGAAAAAGGTATATTGTGGTTAGATTTTGACACATGACCACTAAATTCTGATGTACTAAGTCTTGGAATGTCTGATTCTTCCTTTCCCTTTTCAATATACTCAAATACATATTTTGAAGGAAACTGAAAAGATTTAATCATATGTAGTAATTTGCATCACCAGTGGATGCATGGAAGCACAAGCAAATTCAGTGTCATCTTTCAAAATAGTCTAAAGAGTGTGTATATGGGGAGTATATAGTATAATGTGTGGCCAGGCTTCAGGGCCAGCCCTATTAAGAGCAGAGTTTAAGCACGGTGTTAGAGTGCAGTCTGTGCATGGTATGTGCTGGCAACAGACCAGTCAGGGGGATAAGTATATATCAATTAGTGGTAGATGTCAGTTCTTCAACACTTAGGAGCATAAACAGTAAGAAAGTAAACTTCTTAATCATGTGCTTGTGGAGATAGCTGAAGACTGTTTAAAATGTCTTCAGCCAGTTGTTTTGGCTGTCATTTAACCCGATCTTATAATGGAAAGGATTATTAAACCTATACTGTATTCTAACTGAAAAACAGTTTGTGATATGCTTATCACCAGCACTTCGTGGGATATGTTCGAAACTGAGTTGAAATGGCTTATATCAATGTTACTAAGGATTGTCATGATGGAGAACGAAGAACAGAGATCCCTTTTCCTTCCCACTTTACTCTTCACCATGCTAAGGCAGAATAGAGACATTTCCTTTTGCCAGTACCTGCGCTCTCTATAACTGAACACTAGCACTGGTGGCTTGTCACTGTTTCCCCAGATTCACAGATACACTAATTTACTTTCCCTTTGTTGTTCTTTAAGAGCATGATGTCCATAAATATGAATCTAGGGATGTAGCCTCACTTGTTCTATAGTTCACCACATCATCTAAAAAGTGGCAATACATGGTACAGGAAATTCTCCTTACCTGTTTAAAAAAACCCAAACATGTACATATACAACATCAAATAAGTTCATAATAAATGATGAAACATTATTGGTGCATATTTTGTATTCTGAAATTTTAATTGGTATTTAGGACTGATTACCATTAGTTGTTTTGGATATCCTGAAGCCTTTTTTGTCCTTGTCCACGAGGGTGAGAAATGAAATGAATTTCTGAATCGTTTGGGTTTACTGTTGAAGCTGCTGTAAAATGCCCTTTCTCCCTTGCTTGCGTCTCTGACAATCGGTTGCTGAGAGGGATGAGGATGAAGAGAGTAGCCGCACTCATTCCTCTCTCTCTGAGCAGCCTTGAACAGCTGTGGCAGCAGAGATAACAGATTAGAAGGGAGGCCAGTGAGAACAGGAAAAATAAGCAGAGGGGGAAAAATACGTGTCAGCCTGTGACCCAGTCTCAGAAATTAGTGGGGGGAAAATGTTTATTATTACAGCATAAGAGGAAATTTAAGGCCAAAGATGTCCCTTCTCAATTCAATCCTGTCAACTGGTGAGCTAACATATACTGAGCAGGTAATAAATGTCTGCAGGATTGGCTTGAGACATGCTTTAATGTTTAGGCCTGAATTAAGGTCCTTACTTCCCACTTGAGAACTTCTATCTGTTCAGCCTCCCTGGGATATGAAGCACTGAAGTCAGGATCTGTGTGTTGTCTTATGCATTGCTGATCAATGATGTGTAATGGCAGTGTGGAAGTATGCAATGTGGGAAATATAAGATGAAAACTTTTTGAGATTTTGGACAAAAGTCTGAAAACTCAGTGATTACTTTCAAGTTGCTGATGGGTGTGATAGAGAATATAGATCAAGGAATGCTAAACTGCATATTAATCCATTGGTGACAGTGCCAAATGATATCTCATAACTAGATTTATCAGAAAATACTGTGTTCTGGTAATTTGGGCAGTATTTGGTGAATTCAGAAGCATAGAAGAACATACTTGACTTCTTGGAGTGTTATTGGCAGGAAACCAAGAAGTTGGGGTTAGGACTTCACCTATGTCGTGGTTTTTCTGGTATTTAAATTTATTTTACTGAAGGACTTTCTTGTTTCTTCCCCCATACATATGCCACAAGTTTCCTTGCCAGAGGAAACTTGTACTTCCTCTGACCCTTCCCCAGCCCATACTGAGAGATGAGTTTATGTACCCCAAAACGTGCCTTTTTACCTGTGTGCATGCAATCTCGTTCTTCTTGAATTCTGTGTGCTTTTCGTTCCCCTCTCCTGGAGGAGTTGGTCTTGTCTTTTTGCTCCTTTCCTTCAGGCTTGCCGGTATTTTGAAACTTCTTTTTTAAAATGAGGGATATTGTTATACTAGAATATAGTAACAGCAGCATGAACGTTGTCATTGGTCTGTAGTCTGAGATGATGAAAGCTGCTGCCACAAAGTCAAAGCGAAGTATTTTTTTGGCCAGCTCGATATTTGTGTGTTCTTCTGAACATTTCTATTTCTTGTGTCCTAAAACCAGTAGGTAGAACCCCACAGAATATTTGAGGTGCTTAAGGAAATGAGCCCTTTGGATTTGGAGATGACTTGCCCACAAAGAAGTTACTGTCACAGTTATTAACGAGCGTAACAAGTGATAACAGTATCTTCACAGATTTTCGTAATAGTTCTGTCTTCTAAAAAGACTTCTTTGGACTTGCTAATTTGTGGTGACATTCCGTTTTAGGTTTTACCCCATTTTTCAATAATACAATTTCAGGGAGGTTTTTTAATATGTTAAAAAATGTGATGCTTCCTGAAGCAAGCTGTATGGGTCGTTTCTGGAGATACAGCACCAAAGTAGAAAAAAAGACCTTGCCTAGTCTGGAAAGGCAAGTCATAGGACTGCGTCTCAAGTCGGAGAGTGTTTGTGTTATAGTTCTTACGGTTTTGATAACTGAGCAGGTATATCCTGCTGTTCCTTTTTAAGGTGGCAATATGAAAGACTAGTAAAATGCCACTAGTTGTAATAAGGTGTAATAATTGTCTTTAAACACTTTTTTTTCCCCTACTGCTGGACCAAATAGCAATTTGGATATCCGTGATCTGTAGAAAATGAAATTTGCCTTGCTAATAACTTGAAATGACAGACAGGTGTGTTGTCTCCATTTTTGCACCAGGAGGTGCTGGTTCTTTTTGAATCCCGCAAGAAATGGACAAACTTTATCAAGAAAGATGACTATTTTATTAACGTGTTAGAAAAAGTGATAGCAAGTCACAACTGAAGTCCCTTCTGATGCTGGGAACTCTTGAGTTGATGCAGTATCGGACGGACCTCCAGTGAGGCCACAGCACTGCAGAGATCCTGTCCGTGGTGAGCACGAGAGGTTCCTAGCATCCCCTCCCCTCAAATCCGATCAAATAATTTGGAAAAGATTGTCTAATCCAAGACTTAATAAAAGATAGGTATCTACTCATTCTGAGGTTCTATGTATGCAAATAAATGTTTCTTCGGAGTTGACAGCTTTTTTTTTTAACTAGATATAAAGGAGAGGTTCACCAATTACGTGCTGCTACTAATTGTATGTCTAAGAAATATGGAACAGTTCTCATGGAATCCAGGTAAGTAAACTAGTAGAAAAATTAAATACAAAATGACAAATTCCTGTGCTATCAACAACTCCATCTCTTGCTTCTTTCCTCAATCTGAAAGATAAGGGTAACCAGGACATTTAATTAAGGAATCTTAAATTTGTCAAATACTTTAGATTCTCATTTTTCTATTTCTCGCTTTCTTGTAAGAGTGACTCTATCCTTTCTGCTAGAAGTATATGCTGTTACGCTACAAATGTCCATAGTTATGTTTCAAGTAGTGTCTTGCATGATTTCTTCCCAGTCCTCCCCTTTCCTTTGAGTACATTGAGGAGGAAGGATCCCCTAGAGAATTTTACTTTGTGAGGCTAGTGAGATTGAAATTTTATAGAAGATTATGTAAAAATTTCCATTCATAATTTAATATTGATTATACTTAGGATTTTAGTACCATGTTGAATAAATATTGAGTAAAATTTTGGTTTTATTTTATTAAAACTTAGGTTTAATAATTTTGAGCCCCGATCTGTGTGATGTATTTTGCTTGAATGTTACCAATCTACCTAAATTTTACCTTAAGCATCTAAAACCGCAGGTGCTCTGTTTATTCCTCATACATACTGAATGTCTACTATCTGGAATGTGCAAAGGTTGTCTTCGTAGTAGAGATAAAGCTTTACGAAGTAAAGGCTTTAAAACCTGATCCTAATTGTGTTGTGATTGTATAGTACTGATAAGTTTCTAGAACGGCAATGGAATAAGCGAGAACTTGCACACTACATGCTGAGTGGTGATGTAAAGTTACAGACTTTTCAGACTCTTGAGGATTTTTCACTGTTGAGCAAAAGTGTTATAATTTTTGCTTTGTACACTGGCATCAAATTAAATGGCCTGACTTGTTTCTTTCCAACCTTCAGATCATCTTTGGGTGTTATTCCCAGATGTTTGCATGGTGGTTGCTTCAGAAATTGCAGTGGATATTGTGAAACATGCCTTTATAACAAAATTCAATGACATCACAGCAGATGTAGGTATCCTGTTCAGAATGCTGAGTGCTATTTTAAGTTGTAATTTATTTTGCTAATACTTTTTTAAATATTAAAATTGATTCCAGTGCAGAAAATGTAAAAATTGTTATTTTCATATGTAGGATATCATTTGGAAAAACTTGGTAATTTCCTGATACAATATACTTCTGAGGATCTTTATAATGTAGAACAAACACCTCTGCTTCTAATTAGTAGTTCCAGATCCATAAATTATTGAAAGTGTTGTATAACAGTTGACATAACTACAATTCACATAACTGGCAGATCATTTTGTGATGTGATCACTAGTTAAATTGACAGAAGGTTACTTGTTCTACAGTCTAGACAGACCTTGTACCTTTTCCTAACAGAATGGATTGTCGGTTAAAATTCAGGCTTTAGGAAAAACAGATATTGTGAGGCTGCTGAATCGCTGTTCTTGCATGTGTGTTGAAGGTGGAATCTGAAATCAGATATATTTTTCCACTGTCCCTGGAGCACTAATATGAAGTAGGTTATGTTAGTTACCCACTCCTGAAATTTCGTAGGCCATATGTATTATGCAGTCCTTCTTTTAAAGTAGTAGATGAGGTTACTTTTTGTGTGTTGTGGCATGATACATTGGCCATTTGTCTTGCATGTTGTGTGAATTCAAATGCACTTGATAAATTTGTGAACAGATGAGTTAGCATTTTTTCACTATTGAAACCACTTTTCAGAAAATGAGATCAGAACTTGGAAGTGCTCTCTTTTTCAGCATCTCTAAAGTAACTACATTGTGCGGTGTAGAAACAAGTTTAATAGGTGTACTTAATAAGCTCCCTTATGCCAGAGGCATTTATGCATGCCCTACTTTCATATAGAGCGTGTGGAAAAGAGCAATAATGAAGTCATGATAGCAAAAAATGTAGCATGCTTCAGTGTGCTGAAACAGCTGGAGGATGGAGATAGTGAGTGATAATTTTGCAAGATTTATTTAACAAACTTTGTATTTTTTGCATGAAGTTCTAAAGACATATGGTTGCTAGGTCAGACTTTTTCAGAAGTTTTGAACACCTGCAAGTTGCCCTGCCACTTACCCTTAAAAAAGATGCTGTTCTGTCTTAATATGTAGAATTGTTTTAAAGAGAAAGAAAAGCTTCATTCACCTTCTGATACAATTTGCCTTTTTCATGGGATCACTTGCTTGATATATAAGCAAGCTCTCTTGTTTGTTTAATTTGATCCCGGTGCTACTTTTCATGTAGCTTAAAACAAATTATGAACTATAGGAAAAAAGTAAACATGATTTCTCTTTGTGTTTCTGACAATCCTCAAATTCAGTTAATGCTTTATAAAGTCTCATTCAATTCCTAAAACATGGCGTAGTGTTGTTTGTTTGTTGTATACATACGCAAGTTACTTTATTGCAGAAATACAGGCTCATCTGTTGAAGGGTGCAATTAGACCTCAGAAAAACTGGCTTTGACTCCTTCAGCCTGTGCATAAGTTTTTGTAATATTTTTCCAGAAATATTTTATTAATATCACTGTTGCTTTTATAAAGTGTGATAACAAATTAATCACACATCCAATGTGCTGGATTTTTTCCAGGTCTACAGTGAATACAGAGCCAGTCTTGCATTTGACCTTGTTAGCAGTCGACAGAAAAATGTAAGCCTGAAAATAAAGGCATTTTCTTGTATTAACTAACATAATTGTTATGGGGGGGATATTGGAACAAATACTTAAAGAAATACATACAGAACTGTTACACTCCTACAGCACTGAAATTCTACTCTGCTTTTTTTAACAAGAGGTAACAGGAATATTTCCTTGTGATTTATATTCTTATTTTTATCCAGTTGTTCGGGTCAGTTCGGGCTTTATTTAATGTGTTGTTGAGAAGCCTCTTCCAGATACACTTACAGTCAGGGGATGGTTGTAACAACTTTGACATTTTTGAGATATGTGGGAAGTAAGCTTAACAAGATGTTCTTGAGATAATTTTAAATTACTGTTCTTTTTGCTTTATATTAACTGTGTTGGATCAAAATACAGTATTCATTAGGAATTTATATTATTTCTTCACAGACGGCATGCACAGATGCATAGGGATGTTTGTACCATGTGTGTTACTGTTGTGGCATGGGTATTTACAGAACACACAGACTGCTTGTGTTTTTCATTAGTACTGTTTTTTGGAAGACTATAAACAGCACACCTTTCCTGGATAAGTCTCTTAACTATTAGTCAGTGTTCTGGATGAGTGCTCTAACTATTAAATGAACTTCTATTGCAGTAATTTATGTAGTTTTCTTAGACACCTTTGATAGCTATTGCTAGGAATGCAGTAGTTATACCGCATAAAGAAGTTAGACACCTTCAATTACAAATAATTAATTATTAATAATTTGTTAATTTAAAAAAACGGTTTATTAGTTCTGAAAACTCACTACTTTTCCTAAGGATTCCCTGTGGAAAATGAGGCAGCATCATATAGGCACTAACTTTGGCATGATGTTCAATACTGCGTGAAAGCTGTCATGCAAAGTGGTTGTGTTTTGAGAGTTCAAATGTAAACATATTTTCAAAATTATTTTAACAGAATTATCCTGAGGCTAATTATAGATGATTGTAGAATGATTTAAAATTGCTAGTGTGATGGATAATTGTTCTTTTATCCCTGTTATGGGTTTTTCCGTACAGTATTTGAGGATCAAAGTCAAATTAATACAAAAAGGTCTCTAAGCTAGTAATAATGTACAGATGAAATATCATAGTGCGTTTGGATTCAGTGTCCTAATTGCTCTTGATTTAGTGATTTGTATTACACGCCAGTTGCTCTTGATCTAGAGCACTGAAGCTAATCTTACTGGTCATGGTAGTATTACATTTTTTTTGTCTGAGAGTACAGCTATCTGCATTTGAATTTCAAAATGTGAATAGGTACACTTTATACCAGTGTAGTGTTTGTTTGCAGAGATTGATTCTTATCTAGAGGGTCTGCCAAGCTAAAATAAGCTCATTCCTTTGCATAAATAGTTCATTATTCTTCCTCTTTTTTTCCTAGGCATACACAGATTATAGCGATTCGGTTTCTAGAAGAATGGGTTTCATTCCTCTTCCACTGGCTGTTTTAGTAAGTTGTATCTTTCCTATGAGTTTTCTGTCAGGAAGATCTCACTTTGAGAATATATGCCTGCGAGATAGCTAGCTCATTCTGATGTTTTGAGGATGAAATGATCACATTAAGTAACTGAAACGATGCTGCAAGGTTGAGTTAGCATTCAGTATAACCTATACCACATACTAATTATGCCTTCACGAATGTGTTACTGTTTATCAGCCTTTCATAGAAATTTAAATATATATTAATTTTATAGAATTTATAAGTACTTGCATTGTAGCAGTGGAATTAAACTACATCTGTGCTTATTAAACATTTATTCCGTTTGGCAATTATCCTGTTCATTCATTCAGAATAGTCAAAGCAGCTGGTTGCCAGAAGGTCAGCAATAGTGTACTAGTTTTCTTAGGTTTTTCATAGGAGGCCTCGTGGTTGTCCCTATAATGGTATGCTTAATGACTAAGTTTTCTTTTATATGAGGCACTGAGCTTCTGAGCTGTTGTAGAATACATGATTCTGAAACAGTTGACCTGGTTAACATGGACATGCTGCTGTAAAATGAATCACTTCATTATTGGAATTGTGTCCACATGCTGTCTGTTCCGAATTAACTGTTGCAGAATGTTTTCTGTAAACAGCTGCTCTGACTTTTGCCATACACACATGTAGACAGTAGTTATCATAATACTGGGAATGTGTCCTTTTTTTGCCAGCAAAGATGGTAATTCATAATTTTTCTGGAAGAATATCAATAGGAATTAACTTTTAAATGTAATGTTTTCCCAGAGATGGGGAAAAATACTATTGACAGGCTTTGCCTAGTTTTTATCCAGGATTAAAAAAAAAAAAACAAAAACAAAACCCAAAACAAAACCCCGGCCACACACACACACAAAAAAACCAAACAAAAAACAAACACCACCCCTCCAAAAAACCCCCCCAAAACCCAAAACAATTATGATCATAATCATGATTTCTTGTATAACTAAGTAAAGTACATCCAGTGAGAATTCAATTGAAATACTTTTTTCAAGTTAATTGTGTTCTGATATGATATCCTGGATACTAATAATTTTAAAACAAACTGAAGTGTTTTTCTGACTTGAAACCCTAACTATGAAATACTGAAGTAAAACGTGAGATTTCAGGATCATTTGTTACTGAAACTTGGGATTCATATGCCTAGTCCACAAAGCAATTTTGTATTCAAAATGTTAGCATAGTGCGAAACTCATTCTGTTTTACTGCATCAGCATCTCTTGACATTTTCCTCAAAAATTGTTAACTCAGCTTCCAGCCCTTGACTTTTGGAGAGGGTTTTTTTCACTTGTTGTTTTACTCAGAATTCAGTAGTGAAGGAAACATTATCAGACTGTAGTTTTGGCAAAGTTGCAACTAGGTCCTAGTATAAAACTTATTCAAACCAAAATCTTGAATAGTTAGCGCTACCAAGGGGAACATTAGAATAAATTTCTACTAATGTAAATGTTTCTACTTTTGACTTGAATTTAGCAAATAAGAAATGTCTGTTAAAATATTCTATTAATAATTGTGTGCTGTATGTTTTAACTGTTTAACTTGTATCCTTCAAACAGCTCATCAGAGTCGTAACAAGCTCAATAAAAGTACAAGGAGTCTTAGCTTATGTTTGTGTTGTGCTGTTCTACTGTGGGTAAGTGAATGCACATGATTGAAAAGTATTTACCATGACTTGATCAGATATGTGAAAAAAGCTTCTGTTCATACTTCTAGGTATAACCATAGTTTATATTCAATAGAACATACATGTGAAACACTTAACGCTCATAAACTGAAATTGAGAGTACAGATTGGTCCCTAAGTACTGTAACTGCGTTGGGGCATTATAGCCCTCAATAAAAAACTACTAGTAATGAAAATAACTAATGGAAAAATGATTGAAAGAATTTATGACAAACAAGCACCATATCTCTGCATAAAAGGGGAAATTGGATTCTAAGGAATTAAACTTTCTGTGAAAAGAACAAAATATTCAATATGCCAACAAAAATAAGCAGTTTAAGTGCTCTCAGCAGATCATTAATTCTTCTCTCTGGTAGCTAAATGCAAGGTTTCTTTGTGTTAGGAAACTGCTATATGAAAAAAAAGTAAATGCAAGGCTCACTGTTTTGGGAAGGGTGGGGTCAGTAAGTAATCTTAGTTAACGAATATAATGTCCTATGGGAATTTGTTTTCCAAAACCAATGATTTGCAAGTATCCCTTCACTGTCAAGTCAGTTTATACTTGTGTTATCCTTAACTTCTCACCAGTCAATACGTACTTCTGAGATGTGTTTAGTTGTACTTTAAATCCAGTCTAGTTTGCCTGTCTTGAGGCACTTGCTGTAGACTATGTGGGGATGACCAGTTTCTAGGAAAGCTGCATACTGAACTGTGTTGTTGTCTCTCAGTACTGATTGATATTGGAGTCCTCCTAAATTGATTATAAAGAATTACGTGATTCAAATTGCTGCAGCACAGAGAACCCGCCTACAGTACTGAGGGAATCTCTCTTCCAATGCCCTACCAAGTTGTGTTTGTAACTGAAGGCAGCAAGACTTGGGAAGTAAACTAGGAAAGCTGCATACTGAACTGTGTTGTTGTCTCTCAGTACTGATTGATATTGGAGTCCTCCTAAATTGATTATAAAGAATTACGTGATTCAAATTGCTGCAGCACAGAGAACCCGCCTACAGTACTGAGGGAATCTCTCTTCCAATGCCCTACCAAGTTGTGTTTGTAACTGAAGGCAGCAAGACTTGGGAAGTAAATTTTCAGCAGGTATGCTGGAAGAGAGGAGGCTGCTGTTTTACAATACCTTATGAAAAGAGTGGGATTACTACACATCTTTTTATGAATGGGTAGACTCTTATCTCTAATCTGACCTTGATCTGCAAAAGAAGTAGAGCTTGGTCTGATGTGTCTAGTCCGCATCAGTGTAGAGACACATCTCTTTAGGGTCGGATAACTAGGACTTTGAGATATCGCATATAGGCCAAGTATTAAAATGTTAGCCATATTCCTTTGCACCATACTTTGATTTCTTCCCCAGTGTACCACATGCTGTGCCCATGTTCTCCCTAAAGCCAACTCTATATAATTGAAAGCACTAGCCCCTGATCTTCACATTCAAGCTGTGGTATACCAAGCTCAGCACCTTCATTCTGCTCAGTGGTTTTTCCTTTTTCCCAATATATGTAATACTTCCCTACATCTGCCATTCCACTGCTGCAGCCCAGTCCTGGATTTTTCCCTGCCTCTGTGGCTTGGAGGATGGAGGACAGGAAGAAGTAATGTGATTAACATGAAGAGTTAAATGCTGGTCTTTGAAGGCATAGGTCACAAGAGTAAATACATTTTGGTTTATTTTGTCCTTATTGAAAAGTGAGAACAGATTTTTACTTCTGCCATGATTTCAGATTTGGAGCTAACTCACCTCTTGCACCTTTCAAGTAATTCGTGTTCTGAACATAAATTTCAACTTTTCATCAGATTAGTATAGCATAGATACGTGAGAAATACTGTGATAAAATCTGAAACAGTTAACTGGGCAAAGCATTGAAACTGTAATGTGAAGGACATTGTTTTGTATTGATATTTAACAACTGTAATACTGTAAGTTATACTATTAAAGAGTCTTACCCAGCATATGAAGCTTGAGTTTTCTTTTTCTAAGATTTTGAACAACTGTAAACTTAAATTGTTGTTAGAAATTTGAGCCTGGGGTGGACTGGCAGAAAATAATAAAGAAGAATTGCTAGAAACTCTTGCATAATTTTCCATGAAAAGCTGGAACTGCTACAGTAAAGTATTGATTTATGGCCTTTTCAACTTCTGATCTCATTAAATCAGAGTCAAATCTTGCTGTAAACACTTACTCTCTCGGAACAAAAGCATGTTACATAAAAAGTGTAGGAAAAATACCTCTAAAACTTATTAAAAATGGAGGAGAGCTTCTCAACTCTGAGAAACAAAATCTGTCCCGATAACCTAATAAAATTGTAGAGAATCATGGCTTTCAACTTGTATAAAATTATATAATCTTTGTGGTTGCTTGGATACTAAAATGTCAGTTTCTTTTGAGTACTAAAAGTGGTCTTCTCTGCTCATTCTTCCATTTCTGTAAATTTCTTCTACAAGTAAGTGTATTGCATGAAATTCCTTGTACTTTGTTTTTCTGTTTGACAAGTTCTGATTACACTAATGCAGTGAGAGAGAATGAAGCTGTTGCTGAAGTGTGCTTGGGTCACTTTATGATTAAGCAGTCAGACCCCCTCCATGGATCTGTGAATGTTCACTTCAAGTCGTCTTTTTAGTCTGTTAGTGATGTACATAATAAACAGATTTTCAGAGAGTGGAGAATGAATTCAGAGTCTGCATTTGGTACACTTTCATTACATAGGTTGATTTGCATAGAGAATATTTATATTCATCCTACAGAGAATAGATCACTATTTCCTTGTTCTGTAGTGAGCCTTCACCTGCTTCACCTCTGCTTTCATCTCTGGAGTGGAAATAGGTCTGCATGTCGTGTAATACTAGTAATAGAATTTAGATTTTACAAAGCTCATTTGAGTTGTAAATTTAAAAGCACGTGATGGTAGATGAGACCTTCCTGTTCTTCAAATGAGAAGACAGATATAAAAGGGACTTCAATGATTTGCTGAAGTTTGTGCTGCAAATTAGTGATAATAGAAAGTCCATGAAGTAGACTGTGCTATGATGGTAATGCAGTGCTGCCTCTTTGGATTTGTTGAGTTCTATGGACTGTCTTTTGTGATGTGAAAAAGGACTTTTTATGATTAGCCTGTAATTTGTGAAAGCTAGATATTTGCTTTCTTGTGGTTCAAAGTCCACTAGTGATCCTTGGCTGGGCACACTTAAGGCTACAGCTCTAAGAGTAGTGCATTTAATTTGGACTTGCGCTGTTGAGGGCCCTTTTTAGTTTTGTGTTTAAATATTTGATGTATTAAATGGCTGCTTAACTGTCTTTGTAGTCTTTTGTTAAACTATGATAAAACTTGATGTATTTCTCTAGATGCCTTCTGAAAAAAAAAAAAGAAAAATTAAGGATTGAATCTGAAACAAATTGTTAGGAAAAGGAAATTACCTTTTGATCTTACTATTGAAGGGATTTAATTTGTTACCTAATCATTCCAAGACAGCAGTAACCATATGCAATTATTTTAATATGAGTAATTGCAGTATGAATAATATCCAATTTTTTTAATATGCTAATGCAAATATGTAAACAAATCCTTTTATTTTTTCAGGTTAATATCTCTAAAAGTCCTTAACAGTATTGTATTGCTGGGGAAATCATGTCAGTATGTAAAGGAGGCAAAAATGGAGGAGAAATTATTCAATCCTGTCCTGACTACCACCCCAGGGAAGCCGGCTGGCAAACAGCAAAGCATGTTTAAATCTACCCAAGGTAAGGCGAACTGCCTTGTTTTGTTCTCAACTGTAATGAACATTGCTTTCAGACTAAATTTAATATTAAACCAGATGTATGACATTGTTGTAACCCTGTTGTAACCCTGTAACCCTGTTGCTGGACCTTGATTGTACCATATCACAGCTGTGAACGTAAGTCTCTAAATGTAATAGAATTTATAGCTTTTAGTTTATGCGTCTTCTTTTGGTTATAAATACTCATCTCTCTGATAAGATCCCACCCTGATATGTGGAGGTGATAGAAGCATCAGAACAGTAGCACGCTTTTGTTTGAAATTCATAATCACAGAATGGTTTGGGTTGGAAGGGACCTTTAAAGATCATCTACTCCAGTGCCCTCTGCCATGTCACTACATGAATAAGTAAATATTTACATATCATCTCTGGCAGTGCTGAAGTTTAATAAGGAAGCAATTTATGCATTTCTTATGGAAATTAGTGTAAAACATGGCACGCAATAGATACAATTACTTATAATTCTCAAGAACACATGAATGAAATGTTTTATGAAATCCAAATAGGAATTTCAGCTGGTCTCTACTCACTTCATTTCAAGTCTGTGCAGTGTGGTTTTCTCGTATGGGTCCTCAGCATTAGCGATTAATGTATAATTGGGATGGGGCATTATTATATTCCTGTGACACGTTATAGAAGGAAACAGAAACCTTCATTGTTCCAGTCAACTGAATTAGATTGTGTATTTTCCTCTGTGAAGAGCTCAATGAGAGCTTAACAGTGAGGCTTTTATTGTGTTCACGCAGTTGCTTGCCAAAGACTTGAACAGCTTGAAATGTAAGGTGCTTATTAGTCGTCATAGTGTCTCGCCAGCAATAGCAGAGTTAAGAATCTGTCAGTGTTTCAGTCATACATCTCTATATCTCGCCTGTGTTGAATCACATCATGCAGAAACTTGGTGCAGACGTTTATTTTTAAGTAGCTTAAATTCATAGAGTTGCTTTAGTTTCATCATGAAAGAATGTAATACGATTTGGTCTGAAATGCCTTTTGCATTTCATTAGACAACTATCATAATGATAATCTTTTAATAAAAGATTCTAGTACTACACTTGGATATGAGACTTAATAAGCTATACTTACTTAGACTGAGCCTTAAATTTACTCACAGTAAATAAATCTTTTTAGCTGAAGCAGCAGCAATTCTACCAGGTCAGCAGAGATGCTTATTTCCTCAAATGGAAAGATTTTGATTAAAAAGCAGCAATCAAAAAGCTTTTGCTGATTTTATTTAGAATATTCTAAACTTCCATTGCTGATGGAAAAAGCTCAACTTTTAACAGTTTTTCAGGGTTTTTTATACCTTTTAACAGCTCTTTATTTACTAGAAACCTCAATTATGTGAAAGAATGATTTTACCTTCCCCGGCTTCTGTGTGTCTGCATTATTACTGCTGGGCTCTGCAATATTGATTAATCCCTGTGCCCCACTTACCAGCTTTTTTTCAATATAGTCTTTCAACCCATCTCTTACTAGGATGAGGGTGAGGGAATTAATCTGGTCTACTTTCTATCGTCTTATAACGTAAGTCAATTTATTTTCTTAACAGTTTCCACCTCGTCCACAGAAACAGTTTAAAATTTTGAAGGATAACATTTTATACTTGCTCTTGAAGGATGGAAATTCTAATTACTGGTAATCATTTATAGACTGACCATCTTTCTCTGGAAGCTGCTGGGTTAGCAAATACTTACCTTTGTAACAAAGTTCTGCAATTAGTATTGCTTGTCTCCTTTCTCGATGCAAGTTTAGTACCTTTGACTTGCATAAGACTATAGAGAGTAATCCATGCACCTTCAAGTAGTAGATGATATACTGTGAAGAGATGCTATACAGAAAGAAGTTTTTGTAGTAATTTGGATAGTGTTGCCATTCTGAGAAATAATATTCCCTTGGGCTGGTCTGCAGTACTCTCCACATTAGTCAGATTTTTTCAGATTCCTTTAGAAACAATAACTCAGTCTTTATGAGGAGATAGTAAATAAGAAAAAAATTTCTTGTCACTTCCTTACACATTTTAATTCTTTAAATGTTTTAACAAAATGTGGAAACAATACATGGATATTACTTAAAAATTTCTTAGGTTAATGGAGCCGGTGTTCAATTGCACTGAACTAAGAGGCAGGCATAAAAATAGACATCTCTAATAGAACTGCTTTGGGAGCCAGTGCTATTACAGTGTGTAGCAGTGCATGAGTCATTTATTAGCTATCCCTAGAGAAGTCAGGCTTATTGTACATATGTAGAGGATTAGGCACATTTAGTTCCCTCTACAGAGATTCCTTTTCTTCATTTCAGTAGAAAATATTTGTGTGATTCACACAATGACTGTCAAAAATCTTTTTGCCTAAGCCAACAAAAATGAGTATGTAAACCAGAAGAATGCAGTGTATGTCCTAACATCTGCTGCTTATTTATGCTCTTGCTCCTTATCTAAACTTATGTAGAATTCATTTTCTAACCTTTTACCAAATAAGAAAAGGAAATCTCTTATGGTAAAACTAAGAAGAGGTAGTGGCTTCTACAAAGCATTCTTCTGTTGCTTCTGCTGATCTGATGCAGCACACTTTTTCAGGACACCTTTGGATTAATCTGGTTGTTATAGATGCATCAGCATGTCTGTGTTAAATTCATGATTATCTTTGTAATTGTTTTATGTTCCAACAGGAATTTCCACAGATGAAAATGGATCTGCGTCAGTTACCAATCAACCTGTGCATCAGAAGGAGAATACGCCCTCTTTACTTGTTACAAGCAATTCTGATCAATTTCTGACAACTCCTGATGGAGAAGAAAAAGATATAAGCCAAGACAGTTCAGAATTAAAACACAGGTCTTCAAAGAAAGACTTGTTGGAGATAGACAGGTTTACTATTTGTGGAAACAGAATTGACTAAGATTTTTTTTAATCAATGTGCTAAGGATACTGAGCTGTTGGGACAGCAGATGCTACCAGAATGGACAGTTGCCAAAAAAGGCACATAAATATTTATTTAAAAACTTAAATTATTAATGGCAAAAAATATTAATTTCTTTCTACAAGTAACTTGGCTTGGTATCTGGTCAGGTCAAGTAAGTGATCTTTAACTTGCCTCTTGGAAAATGTGGTGGATCGTGAGTCTCTAGCCTGGTGGCAGAGCTGCAGTATCACTTTTCTGGAAAATAGACTGGGAAGAAAGCATAATCCTGTTCTGCGTTATGAAACCATGCTTCCAGAAGATACTACTTTTCATGAAAGTTCCTCCAGTGTAAGGATATTCCTGGAAATGTATGACAACTTGACCGGAAGCTTGGCTTTCCAGTTACCTGTTTTATTAACCATCTGCAAGCAGAATTCAAAACTTGTGCTTATATCAACAAACGCATAAAGCATTGGTACATAAAACAGTAAGTCAAGATAGTTATCCTTGTCAACAAAAATCTTTTCAAGATGTATCTTGAAAATCTTGTAATCAGAATAAAATTTTGCTTTTAAATGAAAGACTTACTGCATAGTATTTTAT